TGTAAATAGACTGTGTATAACTCATCCTTTAATAGGTCTTTTTTTTTTTTTTTTTACAAATACCAGATCAATTTATTAAAGAGCTGCCAAGTATTTATTTATTGAAAAGCTGACTACAATACCTTTAATATTTGAATATAGAACCTCTACAGATTTCATTGACATATAATTTCATGCTGTTTTCCATGTTTAATGGGCCTAAATCCACATTTTGCTTAGTATTACTAGTTCAGGGGTTTTAGGACTTTTGTTATTTTCTTATGAAATAAGCATTAAGTATTATTGCAATTGAAATCGCACGACAGACAGGTGATACCTATTAGGTCAGTTTATTGCTTATTTGTATGCTAAAAAAGTATCTAAAAACCAGTTCGCTGTATTACCTCGATGGCAGTGATGAATTTAGGCTACAGTCAATATCTCTGCACAAATGCATCAACTACTTTCCGAATTTAATTGCATATATAAATTATAATAATTAGATTTTCTTTCTATATTTACCAAGCAGATAAGATGAGCTTTAATATTTTTTGAATAATTGGGAAAATTTGCTTTTGCAAATCTGTGTTAAGTAAATTTTTTATTGATGTTGGTCTTCCCGGAGTTGTTACATAAATATGAAATGTCACCATAGTGGCTGGTTTTTAATTTTTTATTGTGTTGTTTACAGATGCTCTACAACATTTCAAAGTCTCAAAAACTATAGACTCTTCTGGCAACATCAGGTATTGGCTTTAAGAATATGTATTACATTTGTTTCCCAAATATTTAAAAGACAAAAGCATACATGTTACATATATGGGGAAAAATAACAAGATTTGTTTTTAGACAAATAATTTAACAATAAAAAAATTCACCATCTCTATGAGGTGATAAGTCATTCGTTCAGAATTTATTAGTATCATAAAACAACACGGCCACCTGCATGATGTTAAAGCAATGTTGGTTCTTGCATGAAGCCTCAGCATGAGATGTGTGGTAATTTCCCGACAAGAAGGAAAATACCGTTCTCCAACCAAATTAGGAGACTCTAAATATGCACCTGGTTGTGTGTTGCATTGAAAGTGAATTTTGAGTTGTGATTTTCACATGTCGTAACTTTTGTGTAGAAGACACTCTGGAGCTGAGTTGTATGCACAGATTTCATACGCTCTCCGTTTATTGTTAGCCATTTATATCATAAGCAGTGCCTTAGTGTTACGGATTAGCATTTGCTCTTTTAGAAAGCCATGCCATCTAAATCATCAAATCTACTTTTATAGACTTAGCAGCACACATAATGTACAGTATTTTCTGATGAGCAGCTCATATGTGGATATAGCATCAAGTAAGTTGTGGGTGTTGCTCATATGACTAGCCCTGGTGTCAGTAAGTCAGCCTTTTCTATCTCCAGGACGCTGCTTCCTGTCATGGTGTTTGGGTTTATATAACATACAGAGGCAGGACTTTTGTCTTTTGTTTGACCTAATGGACGAACCCCATACCATCCTTTCTTATCAACTACTCACCAGTCAAAATACTGCAGAGACTGGAACAAGGTGCTATTCAGAGATGATGACTATTATGCTTACAAATAGTTTTTGTTTGTTTGTTTCTTACAAAGTTTGGTTCTATTCTGTAAATTAGGCATTATCTGACAAAGGAAACATGCCAAAATAACTTGTTTTCTGCACAGCTTTACTATACATGTTCCCTGTTTGTGAATAGAGACTGATAAATCATATTTTGAGTGTATTTAATCATTTGATGTGTGTGTGATGTGTGTTGAAATGTGTTCTTGAAATAAACAAAAGCTCTCAATTTTCTCTGTTGAGAATTTTGTTCATTCGTGGTTATTGAGCCTAGAAAATATCATTGGTTAAAATTAGACATGTCCTGGACTTTTGTCTGAGGGTGTCAATGAAGCTTTTTTTTTTAGTTTAATTCACTGTGGGGCGGTGGGATTTTCTTAACTCCAAACGGATATTAGATGTATCATTATTCAAGTTTCTTTAAAGAGTAAATGTAGCTGTTTATGAAAGATCTTTATCTGCCCTTAGAAAAACAGATCTCAAAAAGAATATATGATAAATATAGATTTCTATTAGTACATATCAGAAGAAATTGGTAGGCGCCTGGTGAAAATCTGTAGAAAGACTTGCAATAAATGTATCTATTTTTGGAGAGAAAAACATTTTCACTTTGCTTAACATTGAACATAAACTGGCTTTTTGCTCATTTGTTGCACACTAAAACTGCCTAAAATGCTCAGGTTCAGTCTACTAACCTGGGAACAGTTACAGATAGTGTTTTGCAATCTACAGATAGTGTTTTGCAATGTACTGTATGTTTACAGTTAGAGAGAAGAGGGTCTTTTTTCTCTGGCAGCAGTCCTAAGCTAACAGTTGGAATGTAGATAAAATCTGAAGGCTCTCATGAAGACTTTTTGACCCCAACATGCCACTTTTTGCAGACGTTATCTGTGTGATGGCTAGATAATTATTGGTCTTCCTTCATCTTAGAGAAAGAAAGAGAATGCAAACAAAAGTAATAGCTTCCCTCACGCGATTGAGTTGCACGTTTTGATATATATAATATATATCAATATGATATATATATTGTGAGGGGACACGCAGCAGTTTGAGCTGCATTAACGGTAGGAGGAAGCAGCAGTTAAAGTATTTTGAAGTGAAAAACAATAGGTGCCTGGCATGCAATGCATGGAGGCAGTTCTCCCTATGCATTGCTCTAGGCAGGCCCCAATAATAATAAAGAGACATTCTGTTAGGTGAAGACCAATAGTTAGTTACCTATTATGCTCTCCCTATGCATTGCTCTGGGCAGGCCCCAATTATGCAACTACAATTACTTTTTGCACTTCTTTTCCAAGGGTACCCACAACTTTCTCTGCATCTGGTTCTGGGTGTATATGATAAATATTAAAGCAGTGCAGCAAAAGATTATGCAAGAAGTACCTTGGAGAAACCGCATGGGCCTTGCAGGCCTATAAATTCCCTCTTTACTTTCTGTGCACTACATCCTGACTACAATGTCAAGTGTGACATTCTCATTATACACTTGGCCTCTGACTTCTCCTTTAGCTAAAAAGAAACTAAAGCTTATTTGCACATGTTTCAGGCTTTTCATAAAAGGTTTTTAACATTTTCATATAAGTCCATTTATTTGTATCTCAATTCTGCTGATCTTCAGAATTTTATAAATATTTAATTGCAGGATATTTTAAATAAATTGTTTTACAGTTATCTTGTTGCATTTCTCCTTGACACATGTCTGCATTGTAAATATGTATGAAGAAGCAGCCAACTGCTTTTTCCTCCAACGCCTTTTACTTCTGGAGGACAGGTGCGCCATCTGCTGCTCTTACAATAACATTTGTCTCGACTTTCACCTGGCATGCAAATGTTTTGGAGGTAACATGAATGTTTGGCTCTGTGAACATGATACATCCATGACCTTTGTCTTTCAAATGACTGGGAGGTCGGATAAAGGTCCTTGCACTTCGCGCTGGAAGGCACACATTGCATCTAATTTTTGCTCCTCCAGTCATCAAAAAGAAATGATTTAATGCAGAAATGGGTACTGTGTTTCTTTCCCTGGTATGTTGAACAGTAAGCTTTAAACATCTCCTGATGACTCTGAAAATATACCATATATCATGCCAGCCTGCTGGAATTTTTGGGTAAAAAAAACTTGTCATAAATTTAGGATAGGATAACTCAAGTCTCATAAATCATTTTCTATTTTACACCTCTGCATGACGACATGCAACTAACCTAAAAGCTTTCAACAGCTGTAGAGTCATTGATCAGATCGGGCAGCTCCTCCATGTTCTTTCTGCGACATGGAAACCATAGACAGTGGACAGAACAGGATGAGACAGAGACAAGCAGCAATAGTGGATTAGTGTCTGCTAGAGTTTCAATGAGTTTAAATGAGGGTCCAGGAGGCCTGCTGCTGTCAGTCATTGGAACTGGGAGGGGAAAGCCCACTGTCAAAGACTGAAAAAATACCACAGAAGCAAAGGAATAGGGTCCCACAGGGGAAGTCATAAATCAATCCTTAATCAGTGATTTAAAAGAAATCATCCAGACAAACGAGCTAATTTTTATTCTGATGGGAAAGAGGTTATTTTAAAATGCTATAATCTTAGGTTTGTGGAACATTATTTGTTTGATTTTGTCATTTTAAAAAATGTCACAGATTGGAAACCAGTAAAATGTATTAATTCGGGCACCTAAGTCAGTATGAGGTCATATTTTAATAAAAGGTCAGCTGCTTAAGTTGCAGCTGTCACAGTAGAAGCAGTGGGAAAACAACATGCCACAACCTCTATGCAGCGAGCCAATTACATCAGTAAATTTTCTGTAACTGAGAATCAGGCTGTAAAAACAGGAGTCAGTGACAATGGAGCAGTGTGGCTACAATGGCCAGGAGAATATTTGGAAGTTTCAAAGCAAGATTCAAAATTCATTGTATGGGAAATGTTTTGACACAAAAACCTTTTTTTTTCCATCAGAGGTTATGTTTTTATTATTATTTACTTATTATTGCTAGACCTCTAGTATAAAACAAACTAAACGATGACATTTAATTATCTTTTCCATTTTAAACATTGTATACTGTGACATTTAATTTTTACAAAATGATAGCCTTTGCCAAACTTCAGCAAGTCTTTACAATTTACACCTCAAATCAATCTGCTGTAGTTCAAGACAGAAACTCGAATGGGTGGGGCACTAAGACAGGACACAGCCCAGGGCCCTACATCTTTCTAAATCTAGCCATAACGATTCCTCCCTGAAGGTAAAAAGCATGTTTCTTCCTGGTTATATTCTTTTTTATTTTTGTTCAACTGGGTGTAGCTAGCAGCAGTGACCAGCCACAGAGGCCAGTGTCCGTGTCTCTGTTACCCGGCCTGTCCAACAGAGGCCATCTTCTATCCCCCCTGCAAATGACAGGATCTATTTTGGAAAGGAGGCTGCGCCAAACTCGGAACGTCAGCTATTTGGCATCATGAGCCCTCAGAGAAGAAAAGAAAAAGGAGTCTAGCCCACCACAGGAGACTGGGGAACTTCCATCTTTCTGGATTTACTATCATTTCACGGATATTTGTGCACAAAGAAGACCAAACATTTTTTTGGTGGGATTACTACACTCAGAGCTGGTCCTTAATCTGGAAATTTTTAGTAACAGCCAATAGTCACATGACTCAGATGCTGATTTACCTGAGAGGTTGAAGACTCAAAGGTAAATGTATCAGTTTAAATTGATGTCACTTTTAAGACTTATAATTTAATTTTCTGTCACTGTTAGCTATGGCTACAACTTCCAGTATTGGTTTTGTTTATGTCACTTTTTTGCATTGAAGAACCAGTTTAAGAAATTTCTGTCTACCTCACTTTGTTTATTTCAGCCTATTGTTGTAGCCTTTGTGCTCACTGGAAGAGAGAAAATGAACTGTGCTAGAAATAAAGCATGTTTCCGAAGTAGGGGCTTTATCAAAGAGCACTTCGTTTCTACAAATGGCAATGTGCAGAGATGGGCTCTGACAGCTGAGGTTATTTTTGGGACAGGCGGTCTGAGCCACAGATAGAGGTCTTTGAAAGACACCTATCTTTTCTGTATGACCTTGTTACATGGGAATTCAGTTATTGTTGTGGTATTAAACTATTGAACAGGCTGCGTGGATTTATGTGGTTGGCTTGATGAATGTGTGCAGAGAAAGGAGAATGTATAATGTTACAGGAGCTGACAGCTATAAATATACCAATCTTTACATTATTAGAATCCGCATGCAATAAAAAAATACATAAAACTAGAATAGAGTCCACATAGAAAATAGTATAATATGAGGTGTTTCATTTGGCTTTGATTAGGACTTTATTCTGTAACTTTAATATGCATAATGATGTATTATATCATATATTTAATTTTATTAATTGTGTTATGCAATTACTGTATACAAGAGTTGCTGATATTTCAAAATCCATCTTGTTCCATGTCAGACTGAGCTGAATGAACCACAGGAGGGTAACAAAGTAAAAAATACTTTCCTTAAAAATAGCTTCTTACATCACACTACTGTATCCAACTTAATTTTAAACACATTGATACCAAAAATAACTAAACTTAAATTTACTTCCTTATTTAATAAAAACAAAAATCAGTTCTTTGTGAAAAATTTATTTCTAAATACATTTTTTTCATGTTACCATATTTACTCTTTAACCCGTTGTCATATTTAACTCAAGTTGTCCTTAGATTCTTCCTTTATTACTGTTTGTTGTAGTAGCTGTATTAATGTATCTTTATATGCTTTATTTATCACAGAAGTAAAAAATGGATCAAAACCTGTTTGGAGGAGCCCCTAGGTTTCTCACACGCCCAAAGGCCTTCACAGTGGGTGTGGGCAAGGATGCTACACTCAGCTGCACTGTTGTTGGCAACCCAACTCCAGTAATCACCTGGGAAAAGGACAAGCTCAAGCTTTCGTCTGGGGGGCGATTTAAAACTGTGGAAGATGGAGACATTTACCGTCTGACCATATATGACCTCACGCTTGAGGACAGTGGTCAGTACATGTGTCGAGCCAAAAACAACATCGGGGAAGCTTATGCTGCCGTGACCCTGAAGGTGGCCCTCCAAACGGAGATGTCTCAGAGGGCCCCCATTTTCACGGTGAAGCCCACTTCCACACGAGTGGCTTTAGGAGGAGAGGTTGTTTTCCACTGCCAGGTTATGGCTCACCCTGAGGCCATCTTTGAGTGGGAGAAGGACGGGCGCTACCTAGGTGAAACAAATCGCATCAAAATTATGTCCAACAGCGAAAGCAGCACCTTAAAGATCCAAGGTGTGCGCAACTTGGATAGTGGCACGTACATCTGCAGGGCCCAGAACTCCGTGGGCCGCTCCCAGGCTGCTGCAGCTCTTGTGGTGGATACTCAGGATGCTCGGCACATGTCTGCAGACAAGAGTACCTCTCTCCTCTCCCACATGCAAAAGCGCAAAGAGGAAATGAAGAAGGACATCTCTATCTTTCGCACAGAGGAAAACAGCTCCCTCTCCAAAGCCAACATGACATATGCCCTGAGTTCCCTGAGCCTGGAGCAGGAGCTGAGGGCGTCTGCGCTGGCCAGTCTACCTAAAGGTGTTTTCACCCGCACTTGCACTGTTACTGAGGGCAAGCATGCAAAACTCAGCTGCTTTGTGACGGGTCACCCCAAGCCACACATTATCTGGAGGAAGGACGGAACTAACATCAGTGAGGGTCGCAGGCATGTCATTTATGAGGATCAAGCTGAGAACTTCATCCTCAAGATCCTGTACTGCAAACAGAGTGATAATGGTCTCTATACATGCAATGCCACCAATATGGCAGGCCAGACCTACAGTGCTGTACTGGTTACAGTCAAAGGTAAGGTTTTAAAATGTTCACTCATTGAAAAAAAAACATTTGTATACATCTAAACCACCCTAAGATATTTTGCAAATGAAAACACATTATATATATTATATAAATTTAATGACTAAATAAAATGTGTCGTTACGCTTGCTTTTCATTAATAGGATGTGTGATACTATTAACTATAAAATAAATTAAAAACAAAAAATGTGGCACATCATTGTCCCTTGGGCTATTCGTTGGCCACCCCTTTTTTATGTCAGCAACATCTTAAAATGATGCTGCTCCATTACCTACATTTGTGTATCAAGTACAACTTCAATGGACACAAAGCTTTCTAAGTACCATCACCTTTAGAAACTTTTTAGAGCTGTGGTACAGCAGAACTTTGACTTGTCTTGTTTGTTGGGGAATGCCGTAAAAAGACAACAAGCAAACAAAACAAACAAGGAAAAAAAACTAACATTCATTGACGATGTATTTGGAGGATCTGGCTTATCTATGTGTTAAAGTTTAAATCACAAACATTGTAGTTGGGAAAATTAATGGAAAAGTACTTAGAAGTCAAAAATTTGGGTGGGAACGTTGTCTACATCTGCTTATCCATATCGGATAAGCAGATAGTCATTTGGTGAAAGGTAGGGTATATACCCTTGACAGTGCAACAGTCTACCACAGGCCAAAACTGACACGAAAACTGTAAACAACCATGCATGCATACTTAAAGGGAAATTAGTGCCCAATAAGTCAAGTCATGTTTTGGACAGTAGGAGGAAACCAAAGTACCTGTTGAGAACCTGAGCATCCACTGGAACAGCAAGCACATAGGGCACAGGCCATGACTTGAACCAAGGACTTTCTTGCTGCCAGCCAACAAAACTGAGATGACCCTGTGCCAATGTCATCTCAGTTCATGCATGTTTTCGTAATTTGATTTTTGCAGTAGAATCCAGAGCCAAAAAAAAAAAAAGAAAAACAAGACATTTTTTGGTTGTTGTTGCCTTTATCAACATGAAAAATGTAGTATATTTGTATTAAACTGTGAGCAGGGTGTGAAAAACACTCACCTCTGCAAAGTATAATCAATAATATTATGATGTACTTTGGTGGTATAAGTTGAGATAAGAGGGAGGACCATCAGAAAGTATGCCTTTTATAAATTTTATATATTTAAATATGAAAACAAATCCAACAAAATTTAAATTCCAAGAAATTTCTACTGATTTGTTTTTGACCCCAAAAGGGTAAGAAAATTATTGTTTTTCAATGTAATATTTTAATTTAACAAAAACTGTTAAACACCCAGAATTTTTCTTTTAATGTTTTATTCCATGTTTCTGACAGCTGATACCTATAATATCCAAGTTTGGACATCAGAAGTAGATGACTAGGGATATTAGAACTTGTTCAACATTTATTTAAATACACAATTTTAGGATTTTAGGATTTTTTTTTCTGTAGCACTAAAGGTAGCCCAAATCCCATCAGCTTAGGGAACCACGAACCTACATCTACATTAAAATGATAAAAACAGATTTTTCTTAAAGTTGACATATTATAGATAAAATTGTAGATCCCAGTTGTTGATAAGCATATTCAGCTTCAGATAACCACACATTTGCTTCTCAGTAAAAAGGGCTGTAATATGCCATGCACTACCTATAACTGTAATTACCATTTTAAATCATTGTATTATACCCTAAGATTTACCTAAATGTCAGTGGCCATAAATTACATGGTTATATTCATCTTGACCATTTGAAAGTTGGTGTTGTGTTTCATCTATTTCCTACTGGTGATGAGTAGTTCACAGTTTCTCAGATGAACTCACCCTCTCTAGGCCACTGCAAGTGACACTTCCTCCAGGAACAAAATTTGGCTCAGAGGATGACATCATTAAATTATATATTTGTGTTGATTCAAAACCTTCATGCACTCTGATGATGACAAATTGACAAATGATGGAGAGAGTGCGCTGTTTTCAAGCAGTTTATTTTCCATGAAAGTCATAATAAAAGTCGTTTTTGTGGCACATCTGTATCTTATTTTGAAGGGATGTGTAAATGTTACCTTAGCGACCAGAGTCAGAGAGCGTTAGGGCAGTTGGTTGAGAGGAGCTTGTGAGTTTTAGGCCTGGATCACACATCACGATTTAAGGATTGTTGGCCGATTTTCCAAACCTCTGTGACCACACACGACACGAGCCGATGAAAGTCCAACAGGTGCGATCGGTTCGTGTGTCCAGTTACACGGCAGGAGCAACATATGAACCGATTCCAGTCATGAACATCCCGATTCCAGAAGAAAATCCAGTAAAACCCCCAACATACCATGAATGATGATGTAGAAGCAGTGGTGATAGTTTGTGGATTCATTGATAAAAGACCAAACAAAAAGGAAACACCAGAACACAAAATATCTGAGTTCAGACAATCTAATTACCTTAAAAAGCATAAATCAAATAAAGTTTTTATTACTTTTGTAAGTTTGATTTTTCTAAAAATTTACTGACATTATACCTCTTCAATTTAAACTTATTTCATTGCATTTTTACACATCTTTCCAAGAAGTAACAATAATTTTGGAGTGCACTGCATTTAATCCTGAATTGCCTTCACTTAACATGTAATTTCCTACCTTCTAAATAACGACTGCACTGCAGTTCAGAACATTTTATGTCATTTTAAAAATGTGCAGATTTTGTTGTTTTTCTGTTTGTCAGAGCCAAAGGTGCCATTCAAGAGGAAACTGGAAGATGTGGAGGTACAAGAAAAGTCCTCAGCCACACTCATGTGTGAGGTGCCACTCATCGCCACTCAGACCGACTGGTTCATGGAGGAAACTAGGCTGGAGCGCAACACCAAATATCACATGGATGAGGATGGGACTCTGCGCCGCCTTACCATACATAATGTTACCACTAATGACGATGGGGTTTATATCTGCGAGATGAAAGAGGGCAGCCGCACTGTGGCTGAGCTCACTGTCCTGGGTAGGGAAACTGTTCTCTTTGGATTTTCAGGCATCTTATGTGTAATTTTGAAGACATTTGTTTCATAAATCATTTTTCAAGTGCAGCTGCTTGTGAGACCACACTGGTTAATTATGTTAAGATGAATGCTTATATTTGCTGTTCTTTGTGCATCAAGTATTATTATCTGTAATCTTACTCCCACGTACCAGGTAATATCACAAAGAAGCTTCCTCGGAGGACGATCGTTCCAGTCAGTGACACCGTCATCTTTTGTGTTGAGTTGGAGCATCCTTGTCCAGATGCCTACTGGACTCGCAATGGCGAGAAACTGAAGGAAGATTCTCGTACTTCAATTGCTTGTGTTCTTAGACAGTACACGTTAACAATTAAAGACTGCCAGGCAAATGATTCTGGAGAGGTGGCCTTTGTGGCCGGAGATTGTAAGACTTCAACACGATTCTCTGTCACTGGTGAGTTAAATAATTTCCAAAGACTTTTCTCATATGTGGTAAATTGTATAACATAGTGAGAGACAGTTATTGCAATAAATATTGAAAGGTTGGCCTTGGCAAGCACCTACTTCTGCCTCCACCTATTCCAAGAGCCCTTCACCTGCAATGTACTTTAACACCTGCATTTCCAGCATGTCTAACCTAAAGCCAAATTTATCATGGTTTTAATTTCTATGCAAAAAAATCACTACATATGTATATGTACTTAAAACAAATACATTTATAAATAGATGTCTGAAGACGTAGTGAGCTATTGAGATCTGATGGAGGTAGCAGCAATTAAACTAAGGTTCATTGTGGCCCCCACACCAGAAAAGGGGTGTCAAGCGTTTAAAAATTTAAACTTTTGTGTTGTGAAAGACAACATTTTTCTAAGAGCTTAAGTGTATGAATCATATGACATTCTAAGTATGTTACTTCACGTTCTATGACTAAGTTTCATGTGATAATAGGATGTATGTAGAACAGATTGTAATAAATTAAATTTATATGTCCTATTGTTTTAATTTTGTGTTTTCATCAAAAATGTTTATCAGATGTTGCAAATACTATTCTTAATGTCAGATTTATGCTACAAAAACAATGTCGTAAGGGAGATATAAGTGAACTATCATAAATAAAGGTAGGCAAAAGTTTTCCCATACAACCTTGAAGACACACTTGTCAATAGTTATGTAAGAAAAAAAGAAAAGATGAAAATGTATTGCCGTCAAAGGAACATCTGCAACTTTTGTTTTCCCCACTGTAGCTCCCAGGAAGCATCCCCCTGATCCCCCAGTCGATGCTGTGGTGCAGAACAAGACTGACTCGTCCATCACCATTCACTGGTCTCCCCCTGACAGTGACCGTCCCGTACCCATTAAAGGATACATCGTGGAGAGGAGGAAAGTTGGTGCTTCTACCTGGCAGAGATGCAATGCTGGAGAAATCCTCACAACCACAGAGACCACCATAAGCAGTTTTGCAGAGGAAGCTAGCTACCAGTTCCGTATTTCTGCCACAAATGACTTTGGCCAGAGTCCCTTTCTGGAAGTACCTGGCAGCTTCTACCTTGGTAAGTCTTTTATATTTTTTGAAAAGCATCTGTTTTCTGTGTTTTGTTTTTTAAAAAATACTATGTTTGTCTTTGTTATCCAGAACCCACTGCAGAAATCAGGAAGGGCCTGATAAACAGCTCTGCAGTCTCTGGAGAGGAATTCTCCATCTCTGTGGAGTTGTCGGCTGTTTGTTCAGGCTTCTGGTCCCTAAATGGACGCCTCCTGCGGAGTGGATCAGAGTATCTTATTACCAAATCTAAGAACATTCATACATTGCTCATTCGAGTCGTGACCATAGAAATGAATGGAACTGAAATCAAGTTTGTGGGTGGAGGTTCTCAGACCAGTTGCATCCTATCTGTGAAGGGTATGTCATTTAAAAAATATTATTTTGCTGCACTTAACTTTTGTAAGAGTAATCTCAAGCTTTATTTTTTACTCAGTCATGCATTTAAGTACAAAAATGTGTTACAGCACCTCCTATCAGATTCACCAACAAGTCTGACCATCCAGAGGTTGTAACCTGCAGTGTCCAAGAGACGGCTCAACTGAGTGCTGAAGTGTCAGACTATGAAACTCAGGTTTGTGTGAAAAACATCTTATTTTCATCACTTTGGCCATTTTCATATTTAAAAAATAAATCCTGTTGAGGAAAGTAATGTATCCTCTTACAGAGCCTTGCATTTTCTCCTCAGACCTTTTCAGATTTTGTCATGTAGCCAACACAAACCTGAACATGAAAATTAGAGAAATTTTGGAGAGGTAAAACTCTGAAAGATCTGGTGTGCAAATGTAATCAGCTCCCTTTTTGATGATACCCTAAAATAAAATCCAGTGCAACCAATATCCATCAGAAGTTAACTAGTTAGTATAAAGGAGCTTACCAATAATTCTCTGTATATACAGCTTCTTAGTGAAGGCTTCTAACAGCTTTATGAAGACCAAGGAGCACACCAGATAGGAACCTTGCAGCAGGATTGGGTTAGAAAACAATAGCCCTTGTTTTTTTACATTTCATTCAGAGCACTTCATGTTCATTATTTGAAAATAGAAAGGTACAGCTGCAAACTTACCAAGGCATGGCTTTCTGAGCCAATAGGTTGGCTAAGGAGAACATCAGGCACCCAAGAGGCTAAATCTGAAGGTGCAGTACTGGAGACCAACAAGCTCAGGTGAAAAAATGTGTGATCACCAGCATGCAGAACTCTATATAAGTTGGTGACTCCATGCTGAGTTAATGCCTTTATGGATTCTGGCCAGTGCTAAGGGACAGATAAGGCTGATTCAGTGTTTTTGTGAGTGCCATCAGGGATCTTAAAATTAGATTGTGTGCTTTGGTAAACTGGACTGTTTGGTTTTTCAGGTGGCTTGGATGAAGAATGGGCGAGAGGTGAAAATGGGGAAGAAGTATGAATCCATTATAAGAGAGCGTAAGAGAATCCTGATGGTTCACAATGTTACAGAGGAAGATGTGGGTCTTTATGAGTGTGTCTTATCTGAGGATAGGATGTCAATTCGACTGACCCTGAAAGGTAAGTGGATTAGAACTTTAAAATGGTTATAATGTTGCGCTAATGGACATGTAGCATCCTGGGCTAAAAGCTTTGTTTTGATAACTATCGACTACTATCACTGGGATTAATTTAGTTTTATTCTACTTCTGTTCAGATGAGCCTGCCAAATTTCTCAATAAAACCAGAGGCCCCATGGGAATGTCATCATCCCTTAAAGGAGATCTTGAGCTGACCTGTGAGGTGTCTTCTGCAAGTGCTGTTGTTGTATGGAAAAAAGATAAAGTTGAAATTAGTGAGGACCAAAGAACAACTATCATCTCTAAAGGGACCCAAAGGAAACTTATCATTAAAAGTGCCAAGAAAAATGATGAAGGATATTATTCTTGTGAGACAGCAGCTGATAAAGTCACATTCCATGTCAAGATAAAAGGTAAAACTGATATTTCTGCTTGTAACATGATGCAAATTGTTGTCATGCGGGTGCTTTGTTTTTATTCTCAGAATCCCAAGCAGTAGCTGCATTCTCCAATAAAGAGTCAGTTCAGAGGGATGTTAAAGCCGTCCTCAGCCAGAAAGCAACACTTAGCTGTGATGTGTCAGACTCTAAGACGGAGGTGAAATGGTACAAAGACGGAAAGTTGCTGGAGTCAAGTAAGAGAATATGCTTGGAGGCCAAGGGGAGCGCCCGTCAGCTGGTGATTGAAAACATCGAGAAGACTGATGCTGGAGAGTATACCTGTGAAGCTGGAGGGGATAAACTGGTCTTCAAGATAACTGTATCAGGTAGGAAGGCTGAACCAGTTACTTTGAAATATGGTTATTATAATCAGGAGGTTTTGACATGTAAGACGAGATGTTTGCTTATCCCAAATCCTTTCCTTCCCTCTTTCTCTCTTTCCTTCATTCTATTCTACCTTCCTTCTGTCCTTTCTTCTTTTTTCCTTCCTTTCCTTCTGTTCTTTTTTCCTTCCTTTCCTCCTCCCTTCCTTCCTTACATACATACATACATACATACATACATACATACATACATACATACATACATACATACATACATACATACATACATACATACATACATACATACATACATACATACATACATACATACATACATACATACATACATACATACATACAGACAGACAGACAGACAGACAGACAGACAGACAGACAGACAGACAGACATACATACATACATACATAATTACATTGCCCACAATTGTTTCCTTTTTTTAAATATTTTTATTTCCACACGGACGTTGCATGAGAATTAGGTCTTAATGGTTTTATGTCATCTTCTGAAGGCCATCACACGTTGATGTTAAAAAAAGAAGAACCGTTCAGTTTTAACTCAAAAGAGTTTGTAGTCTTTTGAAATTGTATTTATTATTCATACCAATACTGTATTTTTTTATTGCCTTTACTTTCAGAGGTTCTGTCTGCTTTCTGCAATAAGGAGTTAGTACAGAGGGAGGTGAAAGCCACTCTCTCACAGAAAACCACCCTTAGCTGTGAGGTAGCAGACATGAAGACAGAGGTAAAATGGTACAAAGATGGCAAACTCCTGACTTCCAGCAAAACGGTTCAAACTGAATCAAAAGGCAAGAGTCGCCAGTTGGTGATTGACAGCGTGGAGAAGAAAGATGCAGGAGAATACACCTGCGAGGCTGGGTCTGAAAAGATGAGTTTTAAGATCAGTGTGGCAGGTAAAAATGTTTGGCACATACAAATCAGGCTGTTAAGGAGAAGTTACTGATTTGTTTTCTTTCATGACTGTTTAATCAGAGGCCCAGTCAGCCTTCTTCAACAAGGAGTCGGTCCAGAAGAATGTCAAAGCCACTGTGTCTCAGAAAGCTACGCTTAGCTGTGAGGTGTCTGATACGAAGACAGAGGTTAAATGGTACAAAGATGGCAAGCTGCTCACTTCTAGTAAGATGGTACATACAGAGTCAATAGGCAAAAGTCGGCAAGTTGTGATAGAGAGCCTGGAGAAGAAAGATGCTGGAGAGTACATCTGTGAAGCTGGTGCGGAAAAGCTTTCCTTCAAACTCCAAGTGGAAGGTAGGTTCCAGAGCTAAACTGACATGTAGCTGGTCAACATATTTTACAGAAACTGTAGGAAATTATATAAAAAGTAGATTATTGATAACAAAGTCATATATTCCTACTTCACATAGACATGCAGGACCAGTCTGCCTTCTACAAAAAGGATTCTGTGCAGAAAGAAGTGAAAGCCACTCTTTCCCAGAAGGCCACTCTGAGTTGTGAGGTTGCTGACAGCAAGACAGAGGTGAAATGGCACAAAGATGGGAAGCTGCTCACTTCAACCAAAACAATTCACACCGAATCAAAAGGCAAGATTCGCCAGCTGGTAATTGAAAGTGTGGAAAGAAAAGATGCAGGAGAGTATATTTGTGAGGCTGCGTCTGAAAAGCTGGCTTTTAAGTTGCATGTTGAAGGTAAGGCGTTTTTTTCGACACCAAAGTTTAATACACCTCAGTTGCAGCTTCAAGACGTTTTCCATTATTACTTTTTACAGAGACCCAGATTAAGACAGTCTTCTTCAACAAGGAGTCTGTCCAAAAGGAGGTGAAAGCCATTCTGTCGCAGAAAGCCTCTCTGAGCTGTGAGGTTGCTGATGCAAAGACAGAGGTGAAATGGTACAAGGATGGCAAGCTGCTGAAATCCAGCAAAACCATACATATAGAGTCAAAGGCCAAGAGTCGCCAGCTGATGATTGACAGTGTCGAGAGGAAGGATGCTGGAGAATACATCTGTGAGGCTGGGACAGAGAAGCTGACTTTTAAGATTCATGTGGCAGGTAGGAGTAAAGAAAATAATATTTATTTCTGTTGAGGGCATATCTTTGTACTGGATTTATTTCACAGCTTTGCTTTTCTGAAAGTTTCAATTGCTTGGACCTTTTGTTAGCAGTTTTTTTGAAGGGTTCAAAATAAAAGGCAGAGAAGAACATAAAGTAAGCAACTTCCAAAATTAACTGAGTCAGCATAAGCAAGTGTAAAAATTCTATATGAACAAGTAAAACATTTGTTTACACTGGCTGAAAGTAGATTTTTGATCTTTGGTTTTAATAAAACTTTGACTTGCTGATTGATAAATTTTGACAAATTGCCTTTACAAATTAATTCAATAAAAAATCTGTAAGAACAATATTAATAATAATAATAATAATAATAATAATAATAATATATATATATATATATATATATATATATATATATATATATATATATATATATATATATATATATATATATATATATATATATATATATATATATATATATATATATAATATATATATATATATATATATATATATATATATATATATATATATATATATATATATTCTACCTTTCACATTAACAAATCTTAATTGTTTACTTTAGGAGGAAAGGACACAATGCAAATCATGTGTTGTGACTGCTCTGTTTCTGAGCAGTCATTCTGAAACAGTGCCTTACTGCTTCAAATATTTTTTTTTTATTAAAATAAAGTCTAGCATTAGCAGTTAGTGTGGTCAGCACATTAGCTTTACAAAAAAGGTTGTCTACTTGTATATTTTCAACAGAATGCACATCCTGACCCTTACTCTGAGCTTCTCAAAAAGCTCCTAACATTTCCAAATGCAGCGTTCCACGACAGACAGAGCTTGATAGTTCGGATGGATTAATCAGTGCAATGACAGAATCTCATTTCAGCCTATTACATGCTGAAAATTTTACTCTGTGACTTTTACAGAGTAAAAGACCCAGAATAGTGAAGAGTAAAAGACCCAGAATAGTGAATAAAGTGAATAAAAGTGAGTTCATATGTGGGTTGACCAACATGTCGACTCACTATGACGTTAGTTTTAGACATGTCACAGAAAATACAGTTTCCTGTCATATAGCCTCTCACATCTTTGTACTTCATCTGACACACTAATTCTAAAATGCTTATCTCTGAATCTTCTTTGCTCAGTAACAGATATTAGGTGTGTTATGTTCACTGATTGAGAAAAGATTACATTTTTGACTTTCCAGCTATCTACTAGTCAAGGTAAACTAAGTTGTCCAAAGCTGGATTCTTCATGTGTTTCCAGCTGAAAAATGCAACGTATGTTAAAGCATTTTCAGATGAACTGAAATGTTTATGATACATATTTAATTTGTTCTTTAGAAACTACAACTGGCTTCTCTAGCAAGGAATCAGTTCAGAGAGAAGTGAAAGCTGCTCTCTCTCAGAAAGCCACTCTAAGTGCTGAAGTTTTAGACTCCAAAATGGAGGTGAAATGGTTCAAGGATGGAAAGGCTCTCACTTTGAGTAAGGGGATCCACATGGAATCAAAGGGCAAGACCCGTGAGCTGGTAATAGACAGAATGGAGAAGAAAGATGCTGGAGAATATACCTGTGAAGCTGGAAGCGATAAGCTGGTATTCAAGCTGCAATTGACAGGTACTAATATATTACAAATAATCGTCAAGTTTTAACTGAAGAGATTATGTTCTACAACAAAACACTTAAAAATTGTGTCCTGTAGACATAGCTGTGAAGTTTAAGAAGCCTACCAAGGATACATTTATTGTTGAAGCAAGTGAAAAAGTTGTTTTAACGGCTGAAGTGACCACAGAAGTTGGTAATGTGAAGTGGTTCAGAGATGGCGTGGAGATAAAAGAGAGCAGCAAGTGTGAAATACGAAAAGATGGGCTTTCTCGCACTTTGACACTGAAATCGGTAGAGACCAAAGACAGCGGAACGTACTCCTGTCAAACTCCAGATGACAAAGTGGAATTCAAAGTTCAGGTTAAAGGTAGGTCAAATAAAACTATTTCTACATCTGTTTCTGCAAATGTTAAATTCACCCCATGCTTTCATTTCAGATTCAGCTTTGAAGTTTGTTGTTCCTTTGAAAGCTGCTACAGTGGAGTTAGGAGGAACACTCAGCCTAATTTGTGAGCTAAATCAGGCCTCAGGGGATGTTCTCTGGCAGCACCAGGGCCATGAAATTAAACCTGGAAACCGGCACTGTGTCAGAACAGATGGAGCTAAAAGGATCCTCACTGTAACAGCAGTCACTAAAGAAGATGAAGGGGAATACAGCTGTGTGTGTAAAAATGACAAGACCTCTGCTAAAGTAACTTCTAAAGGTAATTAAATCTGAAAATTTACATATACACTTGCAATCTTTAAAACTGTGCCAAAATATTTGAGCCATAAATGAAAACCTTGAATGGATATAGGGACATTTGTCAACCATAAAACACATAAAAGCATTCAATGTGTGTTTAAAGAATTATGATTTTTGTGAACAAGACCAGTACAGAGTCTTGGACTGTTATTTTGGACAGTCTTGGACCTGTCCGAAATAATCCATTGACCTAAATACAATGAAATTTGCTTTTCATTTTCATCTATTTTTTTTTTTTTTGCAAACTTTGTGTTTTTGTAAATGGGGCTGTAGAATTTGCTTCTTATGTCACAATGTGTTTTTATAGTCAGGGTACGCCTGTTAATGAAAACACCTGATTGCATCTTAAAAACTGGCTTCATTCTTTTCAGCACCAAGGCTCGTGAGGTTGACCACTAAATTGAACAACATTGCTGCAATGGAGGGAAAGGATGCCATTTTCAAATGTGTAGTCACTCCGGCTGACGTCAATGTTCGGTGGTTCCACAACAATATACCCATCACTCCTGGGCCCAAGTACAAACCTGAGCATGGAGGTGGTAGCTTTGCACTAACCATCACCTCAGTCACACAGAAAGATGCAGGAGAAGTTAGTGTTGATGCAGAAGGCAAAAGCTCCAAAGCAACTCTTCAAGTTCAGCGTAAGCTTAGAAATGTTTTCTGCAAAAGCTGTTATTTTTACTTTTGTTTATTTTCAATTTCCAAAAAATACAAAATATGTGTAAATCACCACATCTGCTTTTCCCAGGTGAACCTGTCTCTTTTAAGAAAAAGCTGGAAAATATGACAGTGGAAGAAGAGAATGAAGTAAAACTGGAAGTAGTGCTGAGTAAGCCTTCAGATGAAGTCAAGTGGATGAAGAACAGTGTCGTTGTGCAGCCCACAGGAAACATAGAGATCCGAGTAGAAGGAGCGAAGCAGATTCTAATTCTCAAGAGAGTAACTTATTCTGACCGCGGGATATACTCTTGTGAGACTCTGGATGACAAGACTCAAGCAAAACTCACTGTTGAGAGTAAGAATAATCCCTAATGTTTTTGGAGAGACTAATACAATATACCTTAGAACAATTGAACCCAATGAAAGAAAGATTTTCCTTATTTTGTATAGAGGATTGCTTTGCATTTTTCTTCTGATTGACAAAAAAATTAGTTTTACAGTTTCAGCTGTTAAACTAGTCCAGGTTGCTATGTAGAATGATCAGAAGAAATATTGATTGGTATTAAAAAAAACTTCACTGTGCTTCTGACCTTACACAAAATTACCTTCTCATTATTTAATAATCTTCTAATCAACTCAGGGGAAAATATTACAAAAGGACTTATCATTTGTCATTCCAACTGAATTAGCAGGGCAGATGATTAATTTCAAAGAGAGTGGTGCTTGAAACATGCTTCTTTTGTCAACTATGATTGCTTCAAAGGAAACACCTGCTGTCATAACCATTTTTACAAACACTCTCTAGATTCGACTTTCACCAATAATTCAGAAGCAGTTGAGTTATGAAGAAAACATTTTAAGGCATGGTAAATATAGTAGATACTCCAAAAGTGAGAGTGACCAGTCATTCAGAAATTTGCCCAGAAGTTCATATCTAGTATGTCAGAGTTAAAGCCAAAAATCGTGAAAATAAATCAAGACTCACTCTTTGCCTGTGCTTCAAATCTCTTAAAAAGACATTGTTCATCAGACATTTGTCAAAAAGACTTAACAACACAAATGCAGTAAAGTTGATCAAACACTGTTTCTATCATTCACAACTTTTTTCACTTTCTCACTGTATGATAATCATTAAATGCTGTTTTCCCCTTCAGTGAAGAAGATTCAGGTAATTAAAGCTCTAACAGAAACAAAAGCTCATGAAACGGAGGCAGTGACTCTTGAAGTGGAGCTGAGTCAAGCTGATGTTGAAGGCTCGTGGACCAGAGATGGGGCCAAGTTAAAGTCAGGGGCAAACTGCCGCATCACAACCGTGGGAAAAAAGCATATCCTGACACTTTCCAATCTGAAGAGAGAGGATGCTGGGACTATTTCCTTTCAAGCAGAGGGCGTCCATACCTCAAGCAAACTGATTGTCACAGGTAAATTCTGCTGATTATTTGTTCTACTGGGAAATTGTCTGAACATTGCCATTTTTTGACTTCCTAATCATACAGAACCTCCTGCTATGATCTCCAAACCCATTATGGACATCAATGTTCCTGAGAAGGAAAAGGCAACATTTGAATGTGAAGTGTCTAGAAACAACGCAGAAGTTAAATGGTTCAAGGTGAAAAGTTGCTTGTTCATCTATAGAAGCAAAATAAAAATATACTATTCAAAAATAATACTAATAACATTTTGAAAACAACAATTCTGCAGGAGGATGTTGAACTGAAGCCAACAAAGAACATTGCTGTTCATGCCTTGGGCCGAAAGCGCACATTAGTTATCAACAAATGCACTCCTGAAGATGGAGGCACTTACATCTGTCGCACAGCTGATGATAACACTTCAGCTAAGCTCATTGTGCAAGGTGATTAATTACCTGCAAATTTATTAAACCAGTCAAAGTGGTTAAACCAAAGTGCATTTCATTGTTCTAACAAAATACATTCTTAATTTGGTTTCTATAGCCAGAGATATCAAGATTGTTAAGAAGCTAGAAGATGTGGAAGTGGTGGAGAAGGAGAGTGCTTCGTTTATCTGTGAAATCTCTCACGATGACGTGGAGTACCAGTGGTTCAAAGGAAATACTAAAATTAAAGCCAGCGAAAATGTCAAGATGAGACAAGAGGGTAAGGATTTTAAAAAGCTTAAAATAATTAGAACTTTATGTTTTTATTTGAAAATGTTTTATCCTCTTCCAGGCAGAACGTATGTACTGCTGTTTAAATCTGTAACTCCTGAAGACATGGGTGAAATTAGATTTACAGCTGAAAAAGCATCTTCAGCTGCAAAACTTAAAGTGAAAGGTAAGCGTTTTTTTGTTGTTGTTGTCTTTTTTAATATTTATTTTTCAAATGCTGAATGGAGAATGGCATGAAGTCAATAACCTTTTATAGTTTTGCAATTGGATTAATCGTATCCATTGGGTCAAAACTGTTAGAATGAACGCCATACCTACCTGCAAATTGTAAGCAATACTTCCTCTAAATCTACACATTGACATTGACACAACATACAATATTAAGACAAAATCTTCACATACCTACTATATTTATCTAAAAATAAGAAACGCATTGAATCATTCTGACTGCTTTGAATTTGATGGTATCGACTATCCAATTGCAAATTGCATTTAGGTTTTTATTCCTCATTGAGGCCTGATGGCACCTCAAATACATTTTATCAAGAATCAAACTTTTTTTTGTTTTTTTTTTTTGCATCAGGATTTTAGCCTGTCATTTTGGCATAACTAGTTTTCTGATTTGATATAGGCAATTGTGTGATTACCCAGTAATTTTGACTTTTTGCTGCCAATGATCACATTGCATATGCAAAATTTATTCAGTTTAAATATAAATTATGGGAAACAGTCAAAGTTACATTGAGCTGCATCAATTTGTGGATTTTATCTGGCATTTTTATGTTATAGCTTTGCTTTTGTGTTCCATTGCCATAATATCTACGTCTGCTTTCTCTGGCTTTGGGAGAATTATAGAGCAATAGCATTCTTATCATGTGCTTTAGCGCGAGCTATAATAAGACCTTTTGCACTGATAGGCCTTTTTTGAGACACAATTACTAGTCTACAATCACGTCATGTTCATGTTACTATAGAACTGCCTGTCAAGTTTGTGAAGAAACTCAGGGATAAGATAGCGATGTATAAGCACCGTGCTCATCTTGAATGCCAAGTGTCACGTGCCAGTGCAAAAGTGAAGTGGTTCAAGAACAAGATGGAGATCAAAGCCAGCAAAAAGTACGAGATCAAAGGTGAAGATGTGTACCGAAACCTCACCATCAATGACGTGGATTCTGGTGATGAAGACATGTATACCTGCGATGCTACAGATGACAAGACATCCTGTAAAGTGCTTGTGGAAGGTAAAACAGAAGATGACGAAGAATACTTGTACACTTAATGTTGTTATGAATAGATACACCCACAAAATAAGCCATCAGACTGAGAGTCAATGAGGCATAGATCTATTTATGAGTGTGAAATAATCTACTAATGGGATAAAACCTGGACATCTACCAATTTGTATTTTGTTTCTTCTTGTAACCAATCTCACCTACTAATTTATTGAGATCAATTAACTTTTATCCTGTAAAACAAACGAAAAGTTTTAAATGCTACTGCAGATAACATCTATATAATTTGTCTAAGTGATTTGGATCACAACAGAAAGTATTCATGGATTTAAATGTAAGTGTGATTAATTTGAAGAAATGGATTTGACCCAAATATGTACATTTTTAATAGTTCTAAATTAAATTGAAAACATTATCAGTAGATCAAAGATTCAAAGATATAAAAACTTGATAAAATAATTACTACCAAGCCTTGCTCCTCAATAACGTGCACCTGGTTGTCAAGCATTGGCCCGTGGTGTCAACAAGACAATAGATAGCCCACCACACCTAGTCCCCAGCACCAGAGAAATCAAGGTGACGTTCCAGGTAAGGACTGGTCTTAAATTAGACATCTGAATTAGAGAAATTATGGTCCTGTGATATTCATTAAACCTCCAGATCTTCTTGTTACCATTTTCGAATGACGAGGTTGTGATGGTATGTTCATTTTATGACTATTAGTGGGCACTGGAGTGATTCACGCCTGAACACTAGGTGCATGGATAAGAGTCAGCTTGTGTAACTCTAAGAACTTAATTCTAAATTAGGAAAAAGTGGACTGGTCCCTCCTACCTAGGTATCTGTTGCAAATACAGGAACTTAGGTATCTCAGTGACTTGTTGTGCTTGTAAGATGGGCTTGGAGATGGAAAGGAGAGTTCGGAGAAGAGCCTCTACTGTTTTGCAGTGAAAGAATCTAATGAAAGAAGTTTGAGGCTCGGTTGAGAATGCCTTTGGATATCTCCTTTTTAGGATTTTCAGACATATCCAACTGCTGGGATAGCCTGAGAGAAATCCAGAATTTGCAGAATGGACCTTCTGCCCTGAGAAAACCATTGAATCCCTCAATTTGAGCCAGAGTATGCCGTTGGAGACAGGAATGTCATGGTTACGCCCTTGACCTGTTGGCCCCTTAATCCAATCTTGAATAAACAGAAAACAATAGGTAGTTTGTGCTAGTAAAATTATATGAATGGCCATTCTTGGGTCACATAACTAATAACATATTCTACAAACATCTGTTATCTTGAGAATAATGGATGCAATTTGCAGTTTCTTACTTTGATCTTTTGGGATTCTTACAGAACAGACTATCAGTATTGTACGGGAAGTCAGTTCAGTCGAGGTGACGGAACCCTTTGCAGCTGTTTTTGAAGTTGAAGTCAGTATGGAATTGGTGAAACCTCCGATTTGGACTTTGAATGGAGTTCCTGTACAGGAGGGTGTTGATGTCGAGATGGAGAGAGAAGGCACCATGCATCGTCTCACTTTTAAAAAGACCAAAGCATCAATGACTGGACCAGTTCAATTCGCTGCAGGGAAAAGCAAATCTCTTGCTCAGCTCACAGTCAAAGGTGAATACTTTTTTTCAGGCTCACACAACAATTGGGTATATTTTGTTTTCTGTATTAATACTGTTGTCATCATATACTTTTCTGTATGTTTAGAGCGCCCACTTGAGATCACTGAGCATATCAAAGATATAAAGGCAAATGAAAAAAGCTCTGCTACACTTGCTTGCAAATTTTCTGCGACACCTAAAGAAGTGAAGTGGTTCAAAGGTCAGGTTCTTCTGGCAGCATCAGATAAATACAACATAAGACAAGATGCTGCAAGGGCTCAACTAACTGTTCAAAAGTTGACTGAAGAAGACAGTGGGGAGTATCGCTGTCAGTCAGGTCCTGCTGAAACCAAAGGGACTCTAACTGTTGAAGGTATGATTTATAGCTCATGGAAAACTGCATACTCACATAACTTCATAATATGAACTTATATATATATATATATCAACTTATATTGATATTAAAACTACTTTCTTGTTTTAACTTCTCAGCCCGAGAAATAAAGATCACCAAGCATCTAACTGACACAGAGGTTGATGAAGACAGTGATGCAATGTTCACATGTGAGATCAACTACTCTGATGAAGATGCTCAGTGGCTTCTTAATGAGAAGGTCCTGTTCACCAATGAGGTGAACACCATCACACATGAGGGTAAGGTCCACAAGCTCACGCTGAAGAACTTGGCTCCTCAGGATGGGGGAACTATCACCTTTCAAGTACGCAAAGTGAAAGAATCTGTTACATTGAAGGTCAAAGGTAAGCAATGCCATTCGCTGTCTTTTAATAACTGGCCTCAAACTTCCTGGTTACCTAGATTAATTTAGTACTCAAAAACATATAATTGCAGTGCCTTGCAAAAGCATTCAAAGTATTTTGGAACTTTGTGAAATTTTGTCACATTGCAACCACATATGTCTATATATTTTCTTGGGATTTTATAGACCAAAGTATTTTTGTAGTTTACTAAATAAATTCCAGTTTAACAAATTACCCACAGAGATAAATAGACCTGTATGTAATATAAACTCAGTATATATGTTGCTGGTCTCTCGCATCATTATGAGGAATGGAAACATCCATAAGAGATGGAAACAAAAGCAATACCTCAAGCTTTGGGTTTTAGATGAAGTTCTGTTTCATCCATTTTGACAATGGAAAGATAATTGCACTTACTTAAAAAATGACCATCTGCCTAACCTGATCTGTCAAACAAGATGAACACTAATCAGAGGAGCAAACAAGGGGTCCATGGTAACTCTGGAGAAGATGTAAAGGTCAGGTGGGAGAATCTGTTGAGAGGACAGCTAAGAGCTGTACATGTCAAAAATGCTGTCATTATAGGAGAGCGGCAAGAAGAAAGTCAGTGTTGAAATAAAGTCATAAGTGTGAGAGAGGCATGGAAGCATACCTTTAATGTTATAACAGCCTACTTAAAGTCCAAACCTATATTAAATTTAGAGTTTGTGGCAAGATTTAAATGTATTTTTATTGTTGCTCTCCATCCAATAGTGATGGAGAGTCATTTTAAAAGCATCAGCTGAAAGAGCCGATGCGTTGTAGTGAATCAAAACAGCCTCCCATAACTCCCATCTAGTGACAGCCTGCTCTCTGCTCTCCACTTGTTTTCTTTCTTTCGCTCATTCTCATGCTCTGTGGCTGAAAGCTTATTACAAATGCATGCTATACTTATATATATTGCCTCATTTGCTTCCACTTTGTGGATCCATAAAATTAAATCCCTATATAAATATTAAAGTTTATGGTTGTGAGATGACAAAATGTGGCAAAGTTCAATGGGTATGAATGCTTCTGGATTTAATTAGAGTGGACAAAGATGCTAATGTTTGGACTTCATCTTCTTATAGTGTATAGAAATAAATCTATCTGTTTGTTTCTGCCACCTTTCTTAACCTGCAGAGAAACGAGCTGTGTTCCTCAAGTCACTAGATGATGTCACAGGAGAAGAGAAAGGCATGATAACTTTGACATGTGAAGCAAACAAGCCAAGAGTTTCTCCTATATGGAGAAAAGAGGATAAAGTGTTAAAAGCTGGACCAAAATATGAGCTCCTTCACACGGGCAAGTCTTTGGGACTGATTGTTAAGGATGTGACCAAGGAAGATGCCGGAGAATACAGTTGTGATCTTGGCACAGAAGTCACAAAGGCAAAGGTCACTGTAAGAGGTGAGTACCCTTTTAGGTAAGCAATTTAGAGTTAAAGTGAAGAAAAAAAAAACATTTTTCAAAAAACTCTTTCTTTCTTGTCCTAGAAATTGGTATCGGTATCACAAAAAAACTGAAATCCGTTGTGGTGAATGAAGGAGACACATGCAGCTTTGAGTGCATTCTGTCACGTGAGAGCATTGATGACTGCTTGTGGTCTGTTAACGGCAAAGCTGTTAAAAACGGAGGTCGCTTTAAGATCTCCAGTCAGGGGCGGAAGTACACTCTGACCCTGAAGGATGTGACCCCTGCTGATGCTGGTGAGGTGGTCTTCAGCATTAAAGACCTGAGCACCAAAGCTACACTAAAAGTTGAAGGTAACTCAGCTCGTAAATTTTGAATGTATCAGAATAGTTCTCACATAGCTTATTGCCATCTCTGTTCAACTGCTATTTAGAATTGGTGATTGAAATAGAGGCACACATACCAATTAGTCATCTTAACATTGTGTTTCTATGGCACAGGAAAAGCTTCATCTCTATCAAATGGGCTTCAGAATGTTTCTGTTGTGTGTGGCGAAGATGCTGTTTTTGCCTGTGAGGTTACACAAGCGAGTTTTACCGTAAAGTGGGCCAAAGATGGTAAATCCATCAGAACAAGCAAAAAGTATGAGATCAGTCAACAGGAGAAGCTCATGAAGCTGACCATTCACAATGTGTCAGCTGAAGATTCTGGGGAATACAGCTGTGAAGTTGTTGGAGGTGCAACCACAAGAGCCAAACTGGAAATTAAGGGTAAGGATGAAATGTATACACTTTATGAACTATTTTTTTTACATATATAGACACAGCTGGCCAACTTACTATTTATTTATTTCAAACTGAAAATAAAAACCTATTCTACTTACATATTATCTGAATATTCTAAAGAAGAAATATTCACAATAAACCACTTTCAGTAGCAGTTTAATATCAAACTACAATATAAATCTAACTTTTTAAGTTCAGATTCTCCTTTTTTTCTTCCTGAGTATTTCTTTCTGTGAACTCGTAGAGATTAGTACATGTTAATAACATGTCCTTTTAGACACAGATACTTGTTTTACATTTAATTTATTAAGAATATTCAGAACATTCACTTTAACACATTGCTGCTAAACATTATAGTCCGACATGAAATCAGACAATTTTCTTTCTTTTTCCATTCATATATTGAACATTCGTGTTCCCAAAAAATATATAACAAACCAATGAAATGATTGTTACTCTCTAAAATGTGCCGGTTTTACTTTTACCAGAACCGATCCATAAATTCACCAAAGCGCTTGAGGACATCCAAGCGGATGAGCGGACCTCTGTGACCTTACGTTGTGAAACGGCACAAACTCCATCCGTGGTGACGTGGCTGAAAGGCCACACAGAGCTCAGGGCTGGAGGTCAATACGAGATGTCCCAGAAGGAGAAGGTCCTAACTCTCATCATTAAACACCTGGAGGAGAAGGATACTGACATCTACACATGTGATGTGGGCACTGCTAAAAGCATGGCAAAGGTGACTGTGAAAGGTGAGAAATTAGGAATATGTATGGAACTGAAAACTTTAATTTCAATTACTTAACACAAAAATTTAATAAATGCCATTTCCCCTTCATTTACATTAGATGACTCATAAGCTACATCGAATTTTATGATTTTGTTCTCCAACTAAAACATTAAATAATCTGAAACCTGCTGCCTAAAATATCCAGTGGAGGAAATGACAAGAACACCTTATACCAAGAGAAAAACATGACTCAGGTCTACTCTTTGTATACTTAAAATTGTGAATTTAGTGATGAAGAGGGGGGAGATTATCTTTGTTTTTACACAACGTTTGCTAACCTAAAAGTGTTGGTATGAATTCATATCTTTGTTATCAGAGGTTTGGGAAATTCACTGAAAAACCATCAAACCTTTGAAGTTTTCTTATTATTTGTTTCAAATTTTGCTGTCATATAAAACCCACTTGTGCAGCATTGCCAACGACATTTGTGAAAAAGTTGGACACCCAGGAGGCCGAGGAAGGAGCCAGTGTTACTTTGCATTGTGAGCTCTCCAGACCTGGTGTCTCTGTGGAGTGGAAGAAAGGAACACAGATTCTGAAGTCTGGAGAGAAGTACCAGATGAAGCAGAAAACTTCTGTGAATGAACTCATTATTAATAAATTGGTGCCAGAAGACAGTGGAGATTACAGCTGTATGTGTGGAGACCAGAAGACAACAGCCAACCTCAAGATCAAGGGTAGGAGGAGGATTTATTTATGAGAGTTTTTTGTGTGTTTGTGGTTTTTGTTATAGATATTGTCTGTAATTGATGTGTGAAACAGTCCGTATTAGACCTATTTGTTCAGTGTAGGTGTACTTCGTGCTTGTTCGTTTACTATTTATTGTAGCAAGAATCCCATTGACTATGTTACAACTAATGACCATGCAGCCCAACCAGTGATCTTCAAACAGAAGTTGGAGAACCAGGAGGCCAAGGAAGGAGCCAGTGTTACTTTACATTGTGAGCTTTCCAAACCTGGAGTCTCTGTGCAATGGAAGAAGGGAACACAGGTCCTAAAGTCTGGAGAGAAGTACCAGATGAAGCAGAATGCCTCTGTGAATGAACTCATTATAAGCAAGGTGGTACCAGAAGACAGTGCAGACTACAGCTGTGTCTGTGGAGATCAGAAGACCACAGCCAATCTCAAGATCAAGGGTAGGAGGAGCATTCATAGTCAGTTTATTACAACAAGATTTTTTGGGGGTGTGTGTTTCTTTCATGTATGTATTTAAGGCTTTTTGTTGGAGTTCCGGTCTGCCGTCAATGTGTGCAAACTGTCAGTGTAAGTCCTAATTGTTCAGTTTTAATGTGATTTGGGCTTGTTTATGTGAAATTTGCTGTGACATGCCATTGATTTTGTAATAACTAATGACCACACAGCCCAACCGGTGACCTTCAAACAGAAGTTGGAGAGCCAAGAGGCTGAGGAAGGAGCCAGTGTTACTTTGTGTTGTGAGCTCTCCAAACCTGGAGTCCCTGTGGAGTGGAAGAAAGGAACACAGGTCCTAAAGCCTGGAGAAAAGTACCAGATGAAGCAGAACGCTTCTGTGAATGAACTTGTTATTAGCAAACTATTGCCAGAAGACAGTGGTGACTACAGCTGTGTGTGTGGAGACCAGAAGACCTCAGGCAGCCTCAAAATCAAGGGTAGGAGGAGGATTTATTGTCATGGAAGATTTCAACTGTTATTACTTTTTCGATTTATTTTTTTTTTAATGTATGTACTTAAGGTTGTGTGTTGTAGATCTTGTCTGTCATCAAAGTGTGCAAACTGTCAGACTTAGGCATTGTTGTTCAGCCTTATTTTGAATTGTGCTTGTTTATGTAAAATTTGATGTGGCGTACCATTGATTGTGTAACGACTAATAACCATGCAGCAGAACCAGTGACCTTCAAACAGAAGTTGAAGAGCCAGGAGGCTGAAGAGGGAACCAGTGTTACTTTATGCTGTGAGCTCTCTAAAAATGGAATCCATGTGGAGTGGAAAAAGGGCACACAGGTCCTGAAGTCTGGAGAGAAGTACCAGATGAAACAGAAGGCCTCTGTCAATGAACTCGTAATTAGAAAAGTGGTGCAAGAAGACAGTGGAGACTACAGCTGTGTCTGTGGAGACCAGAAGACCACAGCCAAACTCAAGATCAAGGGTAGGAGGAGGATTTATCAGTTTTATCACAACTAGTTACTTTGAGTGTCTTTTTCTTTTATGTATGTGTTTAAGGTTGTTGGTTGGAGTTCCAGTCTGTCATCAAAGAATGTTAACTGTCCATGTTAGTCCTGGGTGTTCAGCTGAGTATTACTGTATAACTGTTTATGTTCTATTTGTTGTGGTATATCATTGACAAAATGCCAACTAATAACCACGCAGCCCAACCAGCGACCTTCAAACAGAAGTTGGAGAGTCAAGAGGCTGAAGAGGGAGCCAGTGCTACTTTACGTTGTGAACTCTCCAAACCTGGAGTCTCTGTAGAGTGGAAGAAGGGAGCACAAGTTCTGAAGTCTGGAGAGAAGTACCAGATGATGCAGAAGGCCTCTGTGAATGAACTCATTATTAATAAATTGGTGCCAGAAGACAGTGGAGATTACAGCTGTTTGTGTGGAGACCAGAAGACCACAGCCGACCTCAAGATCAAGGGTAGGAAGAGGATTTATTTGAAACCTAACAAAACAAATGTATTTGTTTGCCATGTGAAAAACTGAAGTTTCATTGATTGTGTATTCTTTGCATGAAATTAATTGTATCAATGTTAAAATCTGCTCTGTAATTTTTTAAATTTGTTAAGTTGCTCTTGTGTTTGGTCGTATTGTTTAATTTTGTTTGCTTGCCTTATGTTCCTCTTGTGTGTGGCTGACATGTCAAATTCTTGAGTTTTTTGTCACGTAATGTGTTTTACTGTGGTGAACTCACCATTGTGACATTTTATATGATCTTGTTTCAACATTGTGCAACACTTATATGGCATCACAATTCTGGAGTTAATTCCACAAATTAACAAAGTATTTTTCTTGCTTCTGTTATTTGCTGTTGGTGTTTTTTCAAACGTATCCCTGCCTTTCATTTTTGAATCTATTATTTTGTGTTTAGTTCATAAACTTATATGGATAATCTGTTATGTTATGGCACACTGACTTTGCATTATTTTCTCTCAGCTGTGAAGCTGTCTACACCTCCTTCTGGTGCTAAACCAGAACCCAAAACTCAGGAGACCAAAGAAAAAACTGAAGGTAGGTACAAAAATATGGTTGGGTGATTCTGAGCTGTATGTTTTGTTCAGTTGGATAATTGTGTCTTTGTTGTTGAGTCTTCCTGTGACTTGTCTGGACCGTCTATAATAGATGTAAGCTCAAATTAAATGTATCCTTCAAAGTGTATAGTCCTGTATAGTCGTTTTCTTTTAGTTTAAATTTGAAGTTATTGTGTTGCTTCCTGAGTTAAGTGCTTGCAGGTCACTGATAAAAGCAGACTGACATCAGGATAAAGCATCTAAAATATCATTTTAGCCTTGCTGGCTAGTATTTTTTACAATCTCAGAGTATGGCTGTTTCTGTTGTATCATTCTGTTATTTTGTTTTCTGTTATTTTGTTTTAATAAAGTGCTGTTTATTGGAAACGTTTAAAGAACTTATAGTGTGACTATTTTTGTTGCACTTGCATTGCAGTCAAGGCAAGTGAAGTTAAAAGCACTGAGCAGAAGAAGCAGGAGATAAGTGAAACTGTAGAAGGTAACATTTTCAAGATTTTCACCTTGAGAAATGTTCTATATGTTCAAATTAAAACGTGTTGCTTTGTAACTTGGCTGTTTCACATGGTGTCTCATTTCCAGGCTACATATGCTTTTTGAATTTCTCATTTTCAAATACCTAGCGTGCATTTATTTCATGTTTTCAGCTCGTACATCCACAGGTTTCTGCACTCCCAAGGATGTTTTGTTTCTTGCATTGAGGCTGACTGTTGATATGAAATAGTATCGGCATCTATCAGCTGTGTTTCTCTAATGACCAGACATAAGTGCTTCATGCAGCTTGTGTATTTTTATATAAAATTGCAATTGTTCCCAATTGTAGCTGTGAACCTGCCATCTACTGGTGAAGCCCCTAAACAGCAAGTACTGAAAGAAGAAAATCAGAGAAGCTCAAGAGAATTGCATACAGAACATGAAGGTAATATGACTAGCTTGTTTGTATCTGTTGGATATTGTAAGAGTCTTTGTTGAAAAATATTTTTAGTCTATATAAGATGTTTAAAATTTATCCAAAGGTTGAAAACATACAATTGTTGTTCAATTTATTCAGAGAAAAGGTGTTGTTTTCTTCTCTTGTGTTTGTATTTCATCAATATTTTACGGTGTTGTTTCAATTCTATGTCTAATCTTCAGTGCTGCATGCCATGCTGGGAATACTGTCTGCTTTTCACAATTATTTGAATTTGGTTTGAAGTAGAGTCGAAAGAGGAGCCTATCATATTTTAGCATACAGTATTTATTAGCTTTCTCTTTTCCCAGAGATTTTGTACACTTTACAGTCTGCATTAAATAAAAGAACATTTGTATTTAGGGCAGAGTTGTAAGCTTGTAACATTAAACTGTGCATTGTTATTGACTGTGTCTGCTCTTCTGGCTCCATGCTGGTGTTGTATTTGGGTCAGCAAAAACACACCTCTGTAACACTGTGAGATTATTGTTGTGTTTAGTCCTAGGAGAGAAGACTGTTAAACAAGCTGCTCAGAGTGAAGAGACCAAAATCCAGGCACAAGGTAGCTACTAACTCATGTTTCCACATCAAAATTTGCTGCTACATATATGTCAGTTTGTTTTTGAGCGATTTGGGGATGTCTTGTATGCCGGGATGGTAGGGACATACTGAGTCATTATTTTACAGTTGTATGTTTTGTTACAATAAGAGCTGCATGTCTGCTGCATGTTTCACGTTGTGAAAGGAGTGTTCATAGTGATGTGCTGTGTCAGTCTCCTGCTACAGATAGGCTATTGTATGTTGGCCTTAAAGCTTTCTGTGTTGTAATGCAGCACAAAATTTATGAAACTTTATGAGCATTCACTCCTCCTGGATGAGGATATGATGATAGTGTGTTGTTGACTTTACAAGGTTACGTCATACTGCGCATAAATGTAGTGGCAATGGAGAGGAAAACTCCTCATTAAACCTCTAGCAGAATTTGCTCCAGTACGGGTGGCCATCTGGCACGATCGACTGGAGGTTTGAGAAGATAGAGCAGTATACACAAGAACACCCAGAAGAACTAATGGAGGAGTACTTTCTATTCTAATGAATAGTAACATTTTAATAACAAGAGTGGAAAGACGTTTAGTTGTTTGAAGTTCTGACAATCTCCACTGCTGGATAACCTAAACCACTTAGAATGAGGAATGAATGAAGTCAGAGGCCTGGAGAACTGTCTTTCTTAATACCATTTCTTTTTGTTGATCTTAATTGATCTGCTTGAACCTCTCGTCTGTTTTATTCAATATTGAAACACCTGTAAAAACTTTATCCCATTCTCCATCACATTCTTTTTTATATTTAATACTCTTCTTTTGCTTGACATGTTAAAAAACACACTTTTGCTTTCACTTGAATGCATACGTCTGCAATAAGATAGAATGTGTAGCACTGACACTTAGTGGTCTAAAAGGGTACTGCCATTCTTATGTCGAACCTCAAGAGATGAAGTTGTGGGTGGATGGAGTGCTGTTTCATCATTGTGTTTTCTACTCAGTTATTTATGTGGATTGTCTGTGGGGTCTTTGCTACAACCCATGAAGGCCACGTCTGCTTGATGGACAAAAGTTTATTGGTTGTATGTCTGTATTTAGAAACAGTTTTTTTCTAAAGATGTGATCTTCGTAAGACACCTAATAAGAAAGACTGGTTTGTTAGAATTTGTCTCGTGTTTTCAAAACATCAAACTCAATACTTTATGTAAATCATTGATTCCTCAGTTGTTCAAGTCGTATGCATTAAGGACCTGGAAAGCTGTGTGTCAGAGGAGGGAGCAAGCATCACTCTGCACTGTGAACTTTCTAAACCCGGAGTCCCTGTACAGTGGAAGAAAGGACCTGAAGTCTTGAGTCATGGAGAAAAGTACCAGTTGAAACAAAATGGATTACGTTACGAGCTACAGATCTTTGATTTGACTCCTCAAGACACAGGAACCTATTCATGCTGCTCAGAAGACATATTAAGCTCTGCATCTCTTATAGTGAATGGTATGATGAAGACCACCTTGTTTACCATCCATCTAGTCTGTCTTTTCACATCCGTATTAATTTCTCCTCCCATGAATTTACCTCTTCATTTCTTTTCTTTACGTGTCAAATGACTACTTATCATTGTTATTGTTCTTCAGCCTCCCCAGTGGTTTTCACACGCGAGTTGGAAAGTCAGACTGTGGAAGAGGGCCAGAATGCTACATTACAGTGTGAGCTTTCCAAGTTAGGAGTTTCTTTGGAGTGGAGGAAAGGAGAACTTGGCCTTTGCCCTTGTGGAAAATATGAAATTAGACAAACAGAGAACCTGGCTACACTAATAATCCATGACGTAGAACCAGAGGATTCTGGAAGTTATACATGTGACACTGGTGAACATCAAAGCACCGCAAAGCTGTCTGTGAAGGGTATGTTTACAACCTACTGTTGGTATCCAAATAGCTTGAGTGGGCTCTTCCTTTGTCTTTGACAGATTGAGTCAATCAGGTTCTAAGCTCAAGATCTGAACTTTTGTGGCACGTTGTCTCTGGTGCTTACTTTTCTAAGATCTTTAGAGCTTTGGAAAAGTATTAACATAGACCAGGGATCAGACTGGTTATGTGATAGACCAATAAAATACACATAAGTCTGTGGTTCTAAGTTGATAAAATGGGAAAAATACATTGGAATACCTTCACCATGCATTGATAGTGACTTTAAGGAATGATGAAATTGGACTTGCGCTCTTATTTCTTCTTATCTTTGATCATTTCTTCAATTTCCCACAGCCAAACCTGTCCTTTTCAAAACTAAGCTACAAAACCTGGAAAGACAGGAAGGGGAGTCTGTTAGCTTTTGCTGTGAGATCACCAAACTGGGAGCCAGTGTGGTCTGGAGGTGTGGTGACAAGGTGCTGACAGCCAGTAGCAAATACCAACTGAAGCAGGAAGGGACTGTGGTCCAGCTTGTTATCTATAAACTGCAGAGAAGTGACGCAGGAGAATACTCCTGTGATACTGGCTTCCAGAAGACTTCAGCAACCCTTAATGTTAATGGTAGGATTTCTTTTCATGCATCACCCTTACAACCACCTTTTACATCCCTTCTCATGTTTTCTTGTTTGGAATTTTCCTCTCTAAGAAAAGTTATTTTTGAGACCTTCTTTCAATGCACGTTAATTTTGTAAATTAGGTTTTATTCTTGCACATTTCTTAATGAGTCCTCCAGCTCTTCACATAATTTGACATTGAACTGGAACACTTATCACTTTTTGTGGTGCCCAATCCTTGCTAAGCATGAACACACCAGAATGCTGTTTTTCTTCACTTGATGATTCCAATAACAGCTAAGCTGAAATCTTGAAAGTTTATTGCAATCTGCAGTTTCAACCTTTCGATATCTGTGTGCTGCTGCAATGTCTCTGCAGCCGCTGAGGTTCTGATTTTGAAGTTCTTGGAGAGCTGCGTTGTTGATGAGGGGGAAGATGTCCACTTTGAGTGTCAGCTTTCTCATGAGGAGACTCCACAGATACAATGGAAACTCCAGGATGTCCCTCTGCAAAATAACGAAATGAATCTGATAAGGTCTGAGGGCCGGGTGCACAGCCTCACTCTTAGAGGTGTCACAGCCTCCGACTCTGGAACAGTCACTTTCACAGTAGGAAACCACACCTCCACTGCTGCTCTCACAGTCAGAGGTAAGAAAGGCAGAAATAGTTTTAAGTGATTTCCTTCATTGTTGTCATTTGGACCTTTCTCCGATGTTCTCCATCTTTATCATTGTGGGAGATATTGTTGATGAATTACTACAAGAGCTCTTCAACATGATAGCCATTTCTTTTTCATATATATATATATATATATATATATATATATATATATATATATATATATATATATATATATATATATATATATATATATATATATATATCCTTCTTTCTTATATTTCTAAAATTTTCACTTTTTCACATAGATTCTCCTAATATCTCCGCAGTTTCTTGCATACCTAGAAAAGGTTGTGAGAGTGAGGAGTTAGTAAGAAGGGATTTTTTATTTCTGATAACCAGTTGTGTCCCATGAAATGTAAAGTGGTCAATTTCAGAACCCCAGTTGATTTTTGAACTGGGTCAACAGCCCGGGGTAAATACAGGTTTATATGTGATCAGTGTGATGATCATGTGTCCATCACAACATTCTTGAACTAACACCTGTTAAAATTATGTTGAATGTCTTCGTTTTCATTTTGTATGAAAAGTACTGTCATAAAAAATAAAGCATTTGGACTATGTCTTTATTTTAGCTCATTTTATTTTGTTCAAAGACCAGGTTCACCAGTTTATGGTTCCTTTCTAAACAACCAAGTTTTGTTTTCTAAGACCTCTTTTCATGTTCTGTCTTAGTGTGTTGTTATGTAATGTCATCTTCTTCGTTATGCATGTTGTTTGTTGCTTTTTCGTACAGTCTATTCCTTATGTATTCATGGTGTGTTACCTGGAGGCCACATTCACCTCCTAATACTTAAAAAGCCTAATAATACTCATCTTCTTTAACTGGTATTCTTGGCAGTGCCACCAATATCCTTTAAAAAGGAGCTGGAAAGCCAAGAGGCCAGAGAGGGAGGAGAGACCACACTGTCCTGCGAGACATCAAGTCCTGACTGTAAGGTGACCTGGTGGAAGGGCTCAACTGTTGTCTCTCAGGGAAAGAAGTACACCATTCAGCAAAGAGCTACCACTCACAGCCTGGTGATACACAAGTTGGTCAAGGAGGATAGTGGTGAATATACATGTGATACAGGAGACAAGAAAAGTACTGCTAGGCTGACTATCAAAGGTAACTGCTTCTGCACCTCTCATAGAAAAAACATTTTCTGCCATTTTACAGAGTTAGTATGTGCAGGAGGGTCCTTTCCAGTTATTTAAATGTAAAACAGGGACCTTGTGTACTCAGTGTTGAACTAACATTCAATTGGATTGAAGAATGCAAAGTTTTAAAATGATTTAGCATGGCTTCAGTTTTATATCTCTGAAAGATCCGTTTGACCTCACTTTTCACTTCACATTCATTCTCAGAACATGTTCGCATTGTCCGTGAGCTCCATGATGTTACCGTGACCACTGGTCAGGACGCCATCTTTGAGGTCGAGCTGTCACATGTAGGCGTCACTCATGGGGAATGGTGGCTTGGAGACAACCTCCTTCAAAATAATGATCTGAATCAAATGAGCGTTCAGGGGAGAGTTCACCGACTGGCTCTGAAGATGGTAACCACAGATGAGTCAGGTGATGTTGCCTTTGTCGTTGGTGAGGAGAAGAGTGTGGCTTGTCTTCTGGTCGAGGAGAAACCCAAAGGTAAAATAGATGACATTGCGTCTCTAGCGTTTTGTTGCCCAGAAACATCTCCATCAACAATTAAACGGGTTTTTTAATTTTTCATTATCATTAGCATTACCACTCATAATAATTATTCCTTTTATAAAAAGTAATGTAAGAAAAGCACAGAAAATATATAGGAAACTTAAAGATAATGCTATGCAAGTCAAAGTTAGGACACGAACGCTAAAAAAAAAGACATATCACTGGAAATGAACTTTTTGTTTCCTATATTTACAGTGGTAATATTAGAGAAACCTCATAACGCTGCAGCAGTAGAGGGAGAAACCATCACACTCAGTTGCTCCATCTCCGACTCCAATGCCTCTCTCACGTGGATGAGGAACAATGTGCCAATCCAAGCTGGTATAAAGTATGACCTGAAGAAGAATGGTGCATTGCATCAGCTCCGAATTCACAACCTGGTCCCAGAGGATTCAGGAATATACATCTGTGATACTGGAGATGCACAGTGTGAAGTTACTTTAACTGTGCAAGGTAAAACAAGAATGTTTCCTGTCTAAATTGAAAACTGGACCAAGATAGGACTGAACAACATATCTATGCTAGCATTTTTTATCTTTGTGTAAGTTTCTGTCAACTTCTCCAATTGATGATATACTTAATTAACCCGCTAGGTGCCCCAGTGTTCTTCAAGAAAGAGCTCAAGAGCCAGGATGCCATAGAGGGTGATGATATCACCCTACAGTGTGAAGTGTCTAAGCCAGGTGTCCGTGTTGAGTGGAGGAAAGGAGGTATTGTCCTCCAACCTGGTAAGAAGTATGAAATGAAGCAGGAGGGACACATTCAAGAGCTCTGTATTCATAGCCTGGAACCTGATGACAGTGGTTACTACACCTGTGATGCGGGAGAGCAGCTCACTACAGCTTCTTTGGCAGTGCAAGGTAGCCTCCATGCTCTCCCTTCTATGTCTGTCTTACTGTTTACTGTCTGTCTGCTGAATTGTTTCGTTTTGTCAGTTAAACTGATGCAATGCCTGATAATGAATTTGTTTAAAACTTAGTGTATGCATGTGTGTGTATTTTTCACTCAACAGTGAAAGAAGTCTTCATTGTTACTGGTCTTAAGACCACTGACGTCTTTGTTGGGGAATGGGCAACATTCTCCTGCCAGCTTTCTGGTAGGGCGCCTGGTAAGGTGCAGTGGTGGCTGGATGGCACCTTGCTGGAGAACAGCCCCTGTATTGATATAGGGGTGGAACAGGGCTTTATCCACACACTCACCTTTAGGAACCTGGCGACAGATGACTCAGGCACTGTCACCTTCAAAACGGGCAACTTAACCTCATCAGCCAAGCTCTTAGTCAAAGGTATTCTGTTTAAGGATCTCAGTCATGCAGAATTTTAAACAATATTATTTCTGACTTGCATTATGCATGGAGTTCTAAAAGTGCCAAATCAAGAACCAATTATTGAAATGTGTCATTCAACAATTAGAACTGGAATCAAATGGATAATTTCCAAAATATTATTTTATGTGACTAAAAGTTACTATTTTAGGATTGATTTAGTTATTCCTTTGTTTTACACTGCAATGCAGCATTTTCGTCAGTGGGCAGGGCTAAAGTTACTGGATGTTGGGCTCTATATGATTAGCAAAGTTAACAGTTTAAACCAATGGTCCCTAATCGCAGGTCCAAGAACTGGTACCATTCCTTGTTTGTTTTTTTGTGGGGGGTTTTTGTACCAGGCAGCAGAGAAAGACTATATAAATAATTTTCTATCAATGTTTTTGACAGTCACACTTTGAAAGATATAAAGCTGACACTGGGCAGGGAGAGCAGTTAGTGCTCTAGCACAAAGTTTGTTATTGTGCTACTTATTGTTGCAAATCCAAACTCTGGTTTGTGCAAGTTTTGAAGCGCTTTACTTTGCCACCCTTAGAATCCATGATTTTTTTTTTTCCCCAAAATGATACTGAATAGGTGAATAGCTGAATATTGAACATGGTTTTTAAATTTGACTTCCTAGTTTGTTTAATATATGTAGCATTTATTTATCTCATGCATTAACACATTTTTGACATCCAAGTTAATATAGATGCCTTTATTTATCTATAAAACAACCACAAACATAGTAGACTAAGACTTATACAAGTCAATATTAAAGTGACATTTAATAAGTTGTTTCACAATTAATAATTTAATGTATGTGTCAAACAATTTTTGAACACATAAATATTTATATTTTATTTGTATATATATATTTTTTTCTTTAATTTTAATTTTGACATTTACATATTTATTTAAAAATGTATCCATTGCGGCACTTTTAGGACTTCACGTTTTAACTTGCTGTCAGTCTTTTACAAAAAACTACTGGAAATATTTATTCTAAATAATTGAATAAATATTAGTAAATTAGAACAATGCTAGTGAATTTTGCTTTTCTTTGTGACATTTTTCTCTAATTTTTATAGAGTCTTTATATATATATATATATATATAGATATATCTATATATATATAGATATATAGATATATATCTATAGATATATATATATATATCTATATATATATAGATATATCTATATATATATATATATATAGATATATCTATATATATATATCTATAGATATATATATATATATATATATAGATATATCTATATATATATATATATATATATATTTTTTTTTTAAACTTTAAAATATTTTTTATATTACACATAATCATGCATGAGCCAGATTGTTTTACATTCTATTAATAATACTGTTTAGAGTTTCATGCTGTATGGTTTGATATTACCAAAACAAACAACTGGGTGCAGCACCACACCAAAGGTGTAAAAAAAATACAGTTCAGAGTACTTGAACAGCTATTTGATAGGTCCTGAAAATCCATATTGCAAGTATACATTTGTATTTTGTTTTGGATAAGAGATGTGTTTTGGGCTGCTGAAATGGCAAGCTGATAATCACGATTGTGAATATGATTTTTCAGATTACAACTACATTATTTCCATTAAACACCCACCAGTGTGTTTTAATTAATACACATTTGTATTAATTAAAAAATGCAAAATCGATTTGACTGAGTCAAACGTATTTCATCCAGATATGACCAGAATTTTATGGCCAATTTTTGGTCTTCAGTTTTTGTAAAGCTTTGAGCTGCCAATTTCATCTTCAGCTAATGCTAATTACTCTTTATGAACTGTAAGTGGTTTGGTGTATTGGTAATATATTCTTCTAACTATCTCTCATGAGAAATCAATATTATCTACAAAGGTAATTTACTTGTTGCACTGATACCTTTATTTGTTTGCTCATTAATCTAAGGTTGTTTCTAACAATTTTGTTGTAAAATAGTGGATGAAAAGTTTTTAAAAATAATCTGATTGGTATGCTCTGATGGATAACAGCAAAAATAAATAACTGGAATCCAGGGGGCGATGGTGAGATATACTAAGATAGAAAACAAGCAATCGTGATTATTATAAAGTTAGCAGTGCAGCCCAAACTCTATGAATTTCTAAACAGTGACCAATATCTGTTTGCTTTTTAGATCCAACAAATTACTTCTTCATGTGATGTGGAATGTTTGAATTATATTTTGGACTTCTGGTGAGAATAGAGGAAAAACGTGCTGCTCCACCCATCCAGACTGGCTAGATGCTCTCATTCACATACCCTGTCCTTTCACTGCCCTTAACACTAAAACTTCTAACTCTTCTGCAACTCCCACGAGTTCAGCATTGGCACTCTGTCCATTTGTGACCCCCTTCTCTCTTATCTGCTGCCAGCACTGTTGGACTTTTTAATCCCCATCTGTATATCCAGTGCATTCCAGTGCATTAGCGGAACAAAAGAAAAACAAAAAAATCTTGTAAAGTATAACAACATAAGAACTTGTTTTGGGGATTACAAAGCCCTTACATCATATGGCATGCCCCAGTCTTATCATTCATGGCTAAGTCCTGACAATATCGCCTCCTTCAACTCCCCACAAAACCTCTCACCCTGACCACAGATCCCACGGTTGAGGTGGTGAACGATATGGAGGACCTTTGGGTGGTTGAAAACCAACCGGCTGAGTTCATCTGCCAGTTCTCCAGGCCAGTCAAAGCTCAGTGGAGGAAAGATGGGCAGCTTTTGCAGCCCGATGGCCGAAGGGTGGTAGTGGAGCAGGACTGGACTGTTGCTCGCTTGTACATTAACTGTGTTTCCGGTGCCGACACGGGAACATATTCCTGTGAGGCAGAGGGTACCTCTGTGGTCGCTTCACTTCATGTGGAAGGTGAGCTTCCCTCCACATAGAAAGGGCAACACCCTTTAAAAAAATCTCCTCGTCTTGGTCGAACTCCTAAGCAAATCTTTTGCTGCTGTTACAAAATGTATTCCCTTTTCAACAAAAGCTATATGCATCTGAATTTTACAGTATTGTTGGTAAAAAATGTCTTTTAGGAGTCTTCTTTTGTTAATGTTATATTTTTGTCTTTCCACTTCTCTAGACAAACCCATTAACATTGTCCAAGGCCTGGAAAACGTGGAAACATTTGATGGGGGTGAAGCATTGTTTGAGTGCGCCCTTTCTCGCCCTGAGAGCAAAGACTGTCACTGGCTTCTTGATGGAAAACCAGTAAAGGAATCCCCTAAAGCAGAGATTGTGTCTTTTGAAAGTGGTCGACGTCATCTGCTGCTCCTGAAAGATCTGCATGACAAAGACAGTTGCACAGTAACATTTAAAGCTGGAACAACTTCCACCTCTGCCCAGCTCACTGTCAAAGGTGCTTCCAATTTGCTTAAATTTTGGATCTTTAGACAGGCTGAAAAAGTCTGCAAATTAATTTTAGTGTTTTATAAATTGTGTAGAATCTATCCATTCTTTATCCTTCTTCTTCTTTCCCTCCTATCTTACTATATCAAAGTCATTTGGTCTTTTTTCCCTTGTGCCATTACATATTTTATTCATTGTGTTTTTCCTCTGTCCTTTGATACTTATGTTTCCTTTGTTCTTTCTTTGTTCATTCCATCGTTCCTTCCTGAATTAATCAAAGAACTTAGAACTCTGGTTTTGAGTCTGTAATTTTTACATAAATAATACATGTACTATGCGTGAATAATTTTACATGAATAAACCTGTCTGCATCGTAAGCTTTAATCACCAAGATTTTCAGCGTCACTTTGTGTTTTTATTTCTGTTTAAGGCTGGAAACTGGAGATCGTGCAGGGTTTGGAGGACAAAGTGGCCGCTGTGGGAGAGAAGGTTGAGTTTTGTGTTAAGCTTACTGAGCCTGTTCCTGCAGCAGATGTGACCTGGTACGCTAATGGCGTTGAACTCAAACCCAGCGACCTCTGGGCCATGAGGGTTAACGGCAGTTCTTATTGCCTTGTCCTGAGACAGGCCCCTCTTATGCCCCAACAAGAAATTACCTTTGCAGCCAGGGATGCACTTTCTTTGGCCAAGCTTACCATCATCAGTAAGACTTTAATAAACAAGAAGCAATGAATCTGCAGTTTTTTTGGGAGGGACGGGGGGTGTTTGTGTGTGTTTTCAACCTTTTGTGTGTCACTTCAACAGCTGTACCTGACCCCCCCGAGGATCCAGAAGTCCTCCGTAAAACCACAGAGTCTGTTGCTCTCTCCTGGTTTACTCCTCTTCATGATGGAGGGAGTCCTATCATTGGCTACAGAGTGGAAATGCGACTTGTAGACAGCGCCCTCTGGCTTCCATGTCATTCTGAGCCTGTTTGCAACACAGAATTTGTTGTGGAAAAACTGGTGCCTGGGAGTGGCTACAGGTTCAGAGTGGCAGCAATTAACAAAGCTGGGCCTGGAGAGCCTGTTGAGCTCCCTCTGACAGTGCAGCTTGGTGAGTGGACAAATACATTTGGCTAAAATATCACTGCACACTCAATTATTAGACATAGCTATTTGCTTATTGCTTCTAAATAACTTTCACATGGCATGAAGATTTATGTCTTAAGGGATGCTGTCATTATAACAAACAAAAGATTGAGGATAAGATAATCTTAATTAAATCAAATGTTTCTTTAATAAATAAACAATTAATAATATTTCAATTATGCTCATCTTTATTTAGATTTAGAATTAATCTAAATAAAATTGTTATTAGAAAGGAGGTGGTGTGAGGAGGAGGTTTATTGATTCTATTATGTTTTGCGCACAGCATTGGATTCAAAGTTATTGTGTTCATTCAGTCAAAGGTTAATTTCATTTCAGTATGTACATAATCTTAAAACATTTATTCTTATTTAGAGTCATTACACACATCTCAGAGTAACAGATTTAAAGTATTTATTTCTGTTAATTTCAGTGAGGTTTATAGTTGAACACCCAAAACTCAGGAGATAAGACCGTAACATCAGACCAATGAAAACTGTATGTATATTGAAAATACAGAAATGTTTTTAGTGATATTATGGCCTACAAAGTGCAGACACAGCAGGGATAAGTGCAGCTTTGACAGAAGCATGTAACAAAGTCAATTCAATAACCTGGGGGATAGTCCTCTTTCCAGATGAAAGGAACATTTTCAATTCATTTAAAAATCAATATCCCAGAGCCTGGAAGAAGAGCAGCAAAGTTGTTTGAAGTCTAGGGTGAAGTTTCTATAGATAGTGATGATTTGAAGAATCATGTCATTCTCAGGAATTTGTCCAAATTATAACATAACTACATAACTATTTAAATGACCAGACCCTATAAATATTTTTGCTCTGTGTGCAATGATTCTATGTATGAGTTCCACTTTTTGAATTGATTTACTGGTCTCAACCTAAAGCCAATGTATTCACACTGTTTGACTTATCCGGAACCAAATAATTTTAGGTACTGTTGCATTCATGGCATTGTTGTGCTCTAACTTCAACCATATTGTGGTAATTTCTTCAGATGTAAAACAGACAAAAGTAATAGAACAGCCCAGTCTACCTCCCGAGTCTGCGGAGGAAGGAGAACTCTATGATCTGTGGGACGCATCAGCAAAGAAACGTCGCATGAGCAGAGAGCCCACTCTGGACTCCATCTCAGAACAGCCTGAGGACAATAGCAAAGGCGGAAAAAAACAGCAGAAAGAGTCTGTGTCATCAGAAAAAGTAGAAATCACAGCAGTGGAGAAAGAGCAGGTCGATGTGTCCAAGAAACAGACAGAATCCGTTCAGTCCATCAGCTCCGAGGATCAGACAGTTACTGGCGGCTCCTCACTTGTATCTTACCTGAAAAAGAGCAGCAAGACTGAAGCAACAACAACCAGTGAGACAGAGACTCTAACAGCAGAGAAGTTCTTTGCTCATTTCCAAATGGTAGAGCAGAAAACAGTCCAGCAGACTGAATCAAAAACAACAATAATTCAAAAAACAGATGAAAAGCAACTGTCTACTCAGGAGGCCAGTATCATGGAGATCACAAAAGAGGAGGAGCCTGAGCTGACAGATGCTGCCATCAAGATTCAAGCTGCCTTTAAAGGTTACAAGGCTCGCAAAGACATGCGTCCCATCTTTAAGGAGGTTTTTAAAGACCAAACCAAAGAACCTAATGACACCATACATCTCGAATGTGTGTCAGAAGGTAAACCAGAAAAGGTGCGCTGGCTGAAGGATGGTGAACCGCTGATGGATGGCAAACATCATCATATTGATATCTACAATGATGGCACCTGTGCACTGGTCATTACTGCCATCACCACAAAAGACACTGGGGTTTACACCTGTGAGGTCACCAACAAGTTTGGAGTGACGTCTCACAGTGCTAAGGTGACAGTGGGAACGGTGAGGGAATCATCAGGCCGACGACCCCTGACAATAGGTTACAGTGCCGACAGTGAACCCGAGAGCTCTTCCGGTAGTGAGATGGACGAGTCGCTGAGACAGGCGAGCAGACGTCTCAGGCGCCTTCTTCGCACACGACTCCCACCTGATGTTGAGGAGGAACCATTTATCAGCGCAGACGAGGGCGACTTGCATCCCCCAGATCCTCATTCTTACCGGGAGGATGAAAATTACATCTACATTCGCTTTGATTCCCAATCAGAGGCTGAGATTGCCTCTAAAAGATTCCAGGAGATGTTCACGGTCCATGGAGTACCCATAGAGACCGCCATCATCGCAGCAGGGACTCACAAAGTAGAGCTGCGAATTAGAAAGATGGGCTACATTCAGGATGGTACACAGACCCCAACACAGGATCGACAGCCTCCTGCTTTATTGACTGGAGCTCCAGGTAAGCATTACAGTTTTAACTGTCTAATTCACACTTTCTGAACAATTTCACATTCAAATGTGCCACTTTTCAGCATCCTATTTTCACAGTGAAAGAAAAAGTCAAAATTATGTGAAGCTCTTCTTCCACATCTGATATATGTGCTGCCTGGTGTTTATTTTTCATATAAAAAATTGAACATGGAGGTTTGTGGTTGTTAAGTGACAAAATGTAGAAAAAAAATTCATACTTCAGGTTGATAATTATGCCAAGTATATTTTCAGTCTAGGATCAGTGTTCTTTCGCTAATTGGCCCAGTTGTTCTTGTTTCCCAGCTGCTCCAGTATTCCTGACGGAGCTACAAAGTCAGGATGTTCCTGACGGCTATCCAGTCAGCTTTGACTGCGTTGTGATTGGCAAGCCCCCTCCCACTGTTCGCTGGTATAAGGATGGCAAGCTGTTGGAAGAAAATGACCATTACATGATCAATGAGGACCAAGAGGGCTGTCACCAGCTCATCATCACCTCTGTCTTGCCCACTGATATGGGCGTTTATCGCTGCACAGCGGAAAACAGCAGTGGGATTGCCGCCACTAAAGCTGAACTTAGAGTTGACAGTAAGTAGAAGTGAATAAATGAGTATGAAAATGAAGCAAACATTTTAATAAAAAAATAAATAAATAAAAAATGAAAGCCTTTTCATCAAACATTGTTGAATAAGATATATTATTATCTCTATTAGTGTCGTGCAGCTCAGATTATGACACTGCTGCAGATGCTACTGAGACCTCATCGTATGTCAGTGCTAAAGGTTATGTGTCCAGGTAAGTACAAGTGTTAGAATATTTGACGTTCACCCTCTCAGTTGACATGCTAACTTTTGCTACTGCGATGTATGCTTTCTTCCAGTAGGGAAACTGAAACATTTGAATCCGTAAGTGAAGACGATCAGCTACCACAAGTTGTGCACGAACTTCATGATGTTCATGTCAGTCCAGGTTCACCTATTGCTAAATTGCAACTCAAAGTAAAAGGTGAGCCCACCGATATACCTGAGCTGTCGAATTACAATTTTCAATTGCCGATAAACAATTTAGGTTTTTTTTTTAAATTTAATCGTAGGATTTTTTTGTGGTGTGGGGAGGTCTGTTTTTCATTTAAACTGTTTAGTGAGACAAAGTTTTATAAAATAGATTTCTCCAAAGATGATGGATGAATAGATGAACTGAATGTATGAATTTAACATAAGATCAATGAGGATGAAGAGGGCGATATTTTCTACGTATTTCTGTCTTCTAGGGTTTCCCAAACCGAGAGTGTACTGGTTCAAAGATAGCCAGCCTCTCCGACCGTCAGAGAGGATTCAGCTTTTAGCAGAGAGAGATCTTCATGCTGTGGAGATCCTTGAAGTGAAGAGAGAGGACATGGGGGAGTACTCTGCTTATATCAGCAATGCGGCTGGTTCTGCTTATTCCTCTGCCCGTCTGATAGTACTGAGTATGTATGCACACACCTAAATAGACCTAAACTGCAAATCCATCATTTTCTGTAAGGCACAGAGCTTCAGCGTTGAGCTCAAGATCTAGCCATGCATAGTAACATTTAGATTTTTTACAGGTCCTGGGGAAATTATGCCACAGGATAAAAAAGGTAAACTACTTTTCATACTATAAAATTGCAACAGGTAATTAGACTGTAAACAAGAAACATCTCTAAACTTCCTCTGCAATGATTTTTTACAAAGATTCTAAGGAGCCGCTGGTGCCTCCACGCTTCATTGAGAAGTTCAGCAATAGAAAGGTGAAACAAGGAGCAAGCATCACTCTCTCAGTCAAGGTCGAAGGTCAGTTCACGTTGCCTTTTAAACTTCTTCACACACCCTCCCGCCTTTAATTTCCTTGCAGATTTTAGCAGGTTCTCCACCTATGCTCTTTTAGGATCTCCTACTCCCATGGTCTCCTGGCTGAAGGAGAAATCATCAGAGGATGTCTTGTGGATTAAACCTGATACTAAAGGATACAAAATAGCCAGCTCTGGTCGCCAGCACAGCCTCATACTGATGGACGTAGATAAAGAATATACTGGCATCTACACCTGTATAGCTACAAATAGGGCAGGGCAGTCGCTCTGCAATGCTCAGCTTGAGGTGGATGACAGTAAGAACAATTTTATATTTTGCATTTTATCTAAAAATAAAATAATTTTCAAAATCATGCTGTGGTATCTTCACTGCATAAAAGAAACAAGCAGACCTGACTGAAGTCTGCCAAGTGTTTGTAGTTATAAACAAGTGTATACTGCTCTCCTTTTTGACAGCACCACAACTGAAGAAAAATACTGCAGCTTCAGAGTAAGTAAGCCAATAAATAAATGTACCGCAGTTTGAATGTGCATGCAAATTAATTGCATCATGCTACAAATATGATGCACGTGTAAAATATAATTCATTTTCAGGATCCTTGGGATTACAGTTAGTCCTCCACAAGAAGAGCCTGGCAGAGGAAGTGGTAAAAATACAATAAAATACAAGCAGCAAATAATAATTTTTTTGTCATTTTTTACTGCATATTAAAAAGTGTCTAGGAAAAGTTTCCATATGTCTAGATTGCTTTTACATTTTGTCATGCAATACAAAATACTGTAGTATTCATGGTGTTTGTTTATTCACTTTTTTCTTGTACTTTTACCATACTATTAGAAGGTAAAATACCCTACTTAGGTGAAGTTGGCACAGAGGAATTCCTCATGAAACTCACTTCTCAGATCACCGAAATGGTTTCAGCAAAGATCACACAAGGTAAGTATTTGATACCAGGCAGTTTTGATAAAATATTTGGATGTTCACTTTTAATTTTAGTTTCGTACAATTTCACGCTCTGCTAGCATAGAATGTAAGCAACAAAATGAAACAGAATGTTAGGTAGCTGTAGCTTGCATGAACACCTATTATGAAATTGTGGTGTGCAGCATTTTAATTTATTGTCACCATACATGCAACAAGCTTCCAGAAGGAATGTTGGCAGAGTGCTATGACTCCTAAAATATTTACTGCCCTATTCAGAATTGGCTTTTTTTCTTGAGACATTATTCAGGAGGAAAATCATGTAACTCCAAATTGTTCCAGTTTTCTCTGTGTACAGAAAAAACATCATCTGATGTTTGCATGTCTTTCCTCCTCCTGCTGTTACTTGCAAATTGCTTTAGTCTTCCAGTCAGGTTTGGTGGCTTTCACTAATTTTTTGCTCTGCCAATTTATACATTTTGTGTAAATTAAATGTTATAATAATGAGCTACTAAAATGTGTTTTTTTTTTTATTCATTTAGAACTGACACCAAACCTGACAGTGGTGTTTTATTACTGCTTCACTGCATGCGTTGATGTTTTATTAAGTACATAAAACAACTCTATTAACCTCACACAGACCCCATTTTCTTAACACCATTATTTTAATCAGTTTCCCCATTTAAATAATTAATTTGTTATTCAGACAGCTTACAGAATCACGACGTGCTCCAGTGGATGAAATCTTGGCCCAAATCTGCCAGTATGTATACCAAATGCATCAGCATCACAACTATGCGACAAATTTTCTTTCTCGTTAAGAAATATTTATATCATTAGAATAATTTAAGGACTTTTTTTTCTCACAAACAAAAGCACAGCTGTTACATGGATTTCTTCTTTTTTTTACCTTACATACCTGAAATCTTACCAAATGCTTTCATCTATTCAAACACAATTTATTGTCTCTGTCAGCTTACAGCTGGAATACAAACTCATTGACAGGCATGTATGTATCCGCATGTTGCCACTAACGCAGCAGAAATGCATTGTTTGGCAAAAGAAGAAATTGTTTCTTGCTGATCTTTTTCAGAATTTCAGCTTCAACAAAGTAGTCATTAGTTAAAACAACACCGGGGTCTTATCACTACGATATCATCACAACCAATTTTACTCATCGTCTACTCTGACAATGAGTAGTTGGTAGAACTGTCAAATTGAACTCACTGCAAGTTTTATTAAACTTATTAAGCAAAATATTAAGAACTGGCACAAGTGTTAAAGTGAACAAATTTGTTTTTAGACAACACTTCAAAATACAACTGCCTTGACAAAATGTGTTTTTCTACACATTAAAAAAAACAATTGAAAACACTGAGAGGGCATGCCGTACATATTTTCTTTCTTTCTCAAGCATCTTTCTTAACCTTGTCATTCAAGCTTCTCTACGAGTACCAGGTGTGGACAGTGATGATGAGACCAAAACACCTTCTCCATCTCCCCATCATGGTCGATCTCGACCACCTTCCCTCATGGCAGATTCGTCCTCAGAGTCAGATGATGGAGATGCCAGAGGAGAGGTACAAGCTGTGGAACTGAGTTGTTTTGTTTGTTGTGTTAAAGAAGTTTACAAAAACTTTTCATTTTCACAATTAGTAATGGGGGAACCCACTTTCATACAAAGCTACATTTTGAGAATAAAGCTACTAGTTATTAGATATATACACATCAACAACCAATCTGACACCAACGGTAATAATTAGAGATGCACCAATCAGAATTTTTCAATGATATCTGATCTGTAGTTTTGCAAAGCTGATTTATTCAAATTTTGATTTGTCTTCAAGAAGTAGCCACTGTAAACAAGGTTTTGCTATTTCAAAACAAAGCCAAAGTAATCACAGATTTGGCATTTGAAGTTGTCTTTAGTGTTTATTGAAAATGTTTCAAAAACTTGAAAGGAAAAAAAAAGACTTCTGCAACACATTGCAGATCATTTTCATTAACAACAGAAATAAATAGGCAGAAGATGGAAGCAAGCATTAATTTCAAATGAGAGAAATTTGAACTTGGAATGAAAATAGAAAAATGAGATTGAGCATCAAAGTCATTTTATTGATTTACTTCACTGATGAGAGACCATCTGCCTTGTCATATTTTCGTAGATGTTTGACATTTATGTGGCATCTGCGGACTACAATCCCACTATTGCAAGCAAAGACTCCATCTCTCTTAAAGAGGGACAGTATGTGGAGGTCTTGGACTCAGCTCATCCTCTTAAATGGTTGGTCCGGACCAAACCCACCAAAACAACACCTTCACGACAAGGCTGGGTGTCACCGGCCTACTTGGACAAAAAACTTAAAGTATGTCTTCAGATCAACATGTTTGGATGTTGTTGTTTTTTTTAAATCTTGTTATTTTTTGCAGCAGTTTGGCTTGTTGATGACTTTGTGTTTATGAATGTTTGTCCCAGCTCTCAGCGGATGCAGGGGATCTTCCAGAAACAAGTGTAGAAGAGGTTTCCGAAGGAGAATACAAGCGGAAGTTATTGTAAATGAAGCACAATTTGAAGTCACTATAAAGCTGTGAAAACTGTAAAGACACTCTGAAGAAATTTTATTTAATTCAAACAGCCAGCTGATGCAGGACCTGATAAATGGAGAATCCGAGTTTGTCAAGGAGGTGGAATTCTTCACTTCTCACCACATGAAGCACTCTGACAGCCCAGATGCTCCACCTGATGTCTGCAGCCAGAAAGAAGCCATCTTCAGGAACGTTGATGACATCAAGTCCTTCCACAGCAAGTAAGCCCACATCTTAATTACCAGCAATATCTGTTAAACCTTTAAAAAGGACCACATCAAATACATGCATTGTATTCATGAACCTCGTCTCCCACATTTTGTTTCTAGGACATTCCTTCCAAAGTTGCATGACTGTGACACAGATGATGATGTGGCAATGTGCTTCCTGAAAAACAAGGAAGGATTTGAACATTACCTCCAGTATCTTGTAGGACAGAGCCAAGCTGAATCTGCTGTCAGTGACAAAAATATCCATCGTTTCTTTAAGGTATCTGGTTTTAAGTGGCACCTTGATTCACATGCAATCCTAGATAAATGAAGTGCCTTTCAAAAATATTCAAATCTTCTAGACTTTTTTACAGCCGTCAACAGTATAACAGTATAACTGCATAACTGCACACAATTATGAAGTGGTTTATTTTTTTAGGAATAAAAATCTATTTTATATCCAAGCTCCTTTACTCTGATAACCCTTATTGAAATCCAACTCAACCAATAGCAGAGTTAGTTTATAAAATAATAAAGGAAACAAAAAAAGGAGAGCTCAGTCCATCAAAAACAAGCAATGCAATGAATGTATTCCTGTCAACATTAATTTAAAGTAACCCTAATCAGAGATTTAAGTCTTGATCTAAAGAAACTTTTGTTTCAGAGCTTAAAAACTTATTCTGGAGATACAGAATAGACTTGACCCAGAATGTAACTGATGTAACTGTAGTAAAAGGTGGTTCTACACAGTACTGACCTTACAGGCATCAAGTACAATTTCATGCCACAATTTTCTGTTTTTTATTTGTGTGGACTTTTGAAAAACATTACTTGCACTTGACAATTGTATACGACTTTGTGTTGGTCTATCACAAAAATACCAAACTGTTCCCTGAAAAATGTTCACATTAATTTATAAATCGTTTACTCTAATAGGAGTACTCTGAGAAAGAGCAGGCGACTGCAGGCCCTGGGGATCCTCCAGTTCGAAGCATAAATGCTTACCTGCAGCAACCCCTGGAGAGGATTCAGAAGTACAAGGCCTTCCTTAAGGTGACAGATTTAACAGCCAACAAACAGACAGTCCTTTAAGTTTAATACCTTCTTAATATTGTAAATGGGTATGTAGTATGTGACTCAGATGTGCAAGTCATTTCCCATTTTGATATCTGATTATTAATCAGCCTTTCTAAATGTCTTTGGCTGCTGTCTACAGGATCTCATCCGAAACAAGGCAAGAAACGGCCAGAACTGCTGCCTCCTGGAAGAGGCGTACGCCATGGTGTCTGCACTCCCTCAGCGTTCAGAGAACACCCACCATGTCTCCCTGATCGAGAACTATCCTGCTACCCTGGAAGTTCTTGGAGAACCAATCAGACAGGTAATGGTTTCATCAGTAGCTACGCAACACAGGCCTTTGGTGGCTTTATGTTTGATTGTTTTTTTTTACTTATTTTTTCTCATTATTTTCTTGCTCAAGGGACCTTTCCAAGTGTGGGAGGGAGCTCCTGGAGTTAGAACATCCTCTAGAGGTCACCACCGCCATGTCTTCCTCTTTAGGAATTACTGTATCATTTGCAAACCCAAAAGAGACAGCAACACTGAAACACAAGCATATGTTTTTAAGAACATGATGAAGGTAAGTGATAATTTTCTGTCTGTTTTACATTTTACCACAGACTCAGTATGATTCTTGTTGTACTATTCATCTCGGTGCAGCTAAATAACATCGATGTGAACGAAACGGTGGAAGGTGATGATCGGGCCTTTGAGATATGGCATGAACGGGAGGACTCTGTGAGAAAATACACTTTACAGGCCCGAACGGTCATTATCAAGAACTCCTGGCTGCGAGACCTCAGGGAGCTGCAGCAGCGCTACAGCATGCCTGCATGGAGTGAGAGCGTTTTTTGATTCTCTTTAACTTTGTTCTTATTTTTCTGTTACTTTAATTGTTAATGTTTTATGATGTAAACATTCTTCCAGGTTCCCCTGATTTTGTAGAAATTTTGGCAAACTGCACAGCAGAGTTGGGTCAAACAATCAAACTTGCCTGCAAAGTTACTGGGGTGCCTAAACCTGTTGTTATCTGGTACAAAGGTAAGATGGTAGCAACATAATATGTGCTCATTCGCTTGGCTTTACAAAACACTGTAAGCATTAAATAACTTTTATGATGACTTTTTTAAATCAATTGGTATTCAAACTGTTGTTTTTTAGATGGACGAACAGTAGAGGCAGATCCTCATCACATCATCATTGAGGACCCTGATGGCTCCTGCACACTCATCCTGGATAACATGACTGCAGATGATTCCGGCCAGTACATGTGCTTTGCATCAAGCCCAGCAGGAAATGCAACTACACTTGGAAAAATCACTGTTCAAGGTGAGTGAGAATACAAAGTTGAAGACTTTATCATACATTCCTTCACATTACCAATGATGTTTTTATCCCCTATTCCTCCTTCCCAAAGTTGCGCTAATATTTTGCATAGCACAGATTAAAAAATATATAGCTGCCCTTTGCAGTCAATAAGGAGTTGGCGCCCTCTGCTTTCTGCTAAAAATAGTGTGTTTTAAGTGTTTTGTGTACTGCTCTTATATCTGTGAAGATTTTGCTGCTTAATAGGAAGCAAATGAAGTATATTTTTTGACACAAACACCTAAACATCGCATGTATCTTTTGTGTATTTGACACAGTGCCTCCTCGTTTTGTAAATAAAATGAGAAATGCTGTCTTCGTTGCTGGTGAAGATGCTCAGTTCACTTGTGTGATACAAAGCGCCCCCAGCCCAAAAATAAGGTAGGACTGTCTGAAGTACAGCTAATGCTGCTCATTCTTGACTTTTGAAGATTCTGGTTCCTTTCAAAAAGCATTTTTATTCATTTTATTTTGTCACAATTAGTCAGATTATAACCACAAACTTCCTTGTATTTTCTTAGAATCTTAAATGAAAGGCCAACCAAAGTAATATTCAACTAATTCTAACAGAAGGAAATGTTTCAACTATTTGAGCATTTAGAGTCACATGGTTCACTAAGAATCAATAACACACGTCTGAGGTCTCCACGCAATAGTTGTATTAAATTTCAGAGTTTTACATTTGAACATTTTCTTAATAATACCAGTATTTATCATCTTCTTTTTACTTCACACTTATGTGTTGTTTTATCACGTAAAATTTGAAAAAAAAAGACAGAAGTTTGTTGTAATGTGGCAATATGTGAAAAAGCTTGAGTGTGTCAATATTTCTAAATTTAGCATATTTATCTTTTTTTCTGTACTTGTTCAAGGTGGTTCAAAGATGGCCGACTATTGACTGACCAGGAGAAGTATCAGACCTACAGCGAGGTCCGTAGTGGGGTTCTGGTTCTGGTTGTAAAAAACCTGACTGAGAGAGACCTTGGACACTACGAGTGCGAGGTAAAATGAGATGACATCGCTGCTGTTCTGTTTAGTTTTTGTCTTGTTTTTCTGGATGGTTAAAGATTGCATAATTGTATTTGAAATGAATATACATAGTTACATTTTCCCTTGTCGGTTTATTATAAAAATCTATGATAACAAGCAGAAAATTTTGCAGTGTATTATTTATTTATTTTTTTTGCAATAACAACAAGTCACTTATCCTTTTAAGTGTTTTGATGGGGAGGTTTTCCTGGATTTACCACTCCATTGACTTGTTGTTTACTTCTTGTTTAGGTTTGCTGAGTCATTGGGGGTGTCTAAGGGCAGATTTGATTGTGATCCTATTTTAATTTTTACACCTAAGAATTGATTTGAAGCTAGTTGCTACCAATTAGCAGTACAAAGTCATATTTAGGATTCTAAAAATATTTTCCTGCTGTTGCCAGGTGTCAAACCGCCTGGGCAGTGCCAAATGTGCTGCAGATTTAGTTTTTCCTTCCGCTGTGGTCCGCAGTGGGGAGCAGGCCATCACCACTGAAGGTAGGGCTTTTCTGTCTGCCTTTTAGTTTAACAGTTTCAGTGTGTTGAATGCTCTGAGTAAGTCTAACAACAAGAATTAGTATTTCTTTTCAATATGTGGTTATTTTATGCACATGTTATTGCATAATAGTTTTTTTGGTGGGGGCGTTGTTGTCATTTAAATGTATTTTTTTAAATTTTGGTTATTCTGTTTTTGTTTCAGTTACCGAACAGGAGACTAAACTACCAAAGAAGACCATTATAATGTGAGTGTGATGAGTCTTTAACATGATGAATAAGAAATTTCTTTTTGCTGCTCATATTCTCAGTCAAACCAAATCAGAAAGTTAGCTTTGTTCTGACTTTTGTCAAAAGTTGCAAAACCTGAATAATCATTAGAAATGTTGACAGGAGTGTGAAAATACACATACAAATCATGGCTCATTTCAATGTGATTTTGGTTAAAGTTGTTAAGAGTAATCATGGAGTTGTTAAAGAGCCACACGTTGCTCTGGTGCTGCAGGATACACAACCATCCTCCAGACAATTTGTTTGTGTTTGTTTTTCTGAGAAAATTTGCCTTGCAAATACTTGAATTTGTTGGACAAGCATTCTAATGTAGCTACAGGTTTTATGTAACTCTAGTGTTTTTTTGTTTTTGTTTTTTTTAAGGATTGAACCAGATTTTAGAGCACATTTCTGTGTGTAATCCTTTCTATAGATTGTGTAATATTTAAAGTCTGTGTGCTAAAGGATTCTATCATATGGATGATAAAGGGAGGGGCTTTTTCCACCGGCGGGGTCCTTCAAACTGGGAAACCTGCTGCTAAGCTTGACTTCTACGACTGAATAAAAAACTTCAAGGAAACTTTTAGGTCTTACTTACATGATGACTATTAGAAGAAAAAGGAAGAAATAATGTCAGAAGAGCAATTATTATTGTATTATGTTTCTAAACACTCTATCGAGCAATTTATAGTTCATCTAACAAGGCTACACAGAACTAAATCTGGATCGTGAATTGTGGTCATCCACTGCAGTTTCACAGAATTCCCTGCTGTAGATTTGGGTCAGTGATGTTTTTAGACATTTAGGCAGATTACAGTTCCAAGGTCTGAACCATTCCAGATCTATTCCATTTTTTTCCAGACCTTCAAACAAACTACATCCATGGAGAGTTCTCACATATAATCTTGTAAGACTTCATGAGTGGTGTATAGGTATCGAAGCTTGTTTTGGGACAATTAATTTTATCTCAATTAAATATTGTTTAATTACAAAATAGGAAAACATAGGAAAGATGACGGTAATACATTGTCCGATAAGTGATTAACTACATCTACAGTGAGTTTAATTTTACAGGTCTTGTGTGTATCTAACATTACGTTGTGGCTATTTAAGCCTTTCAGTCTCATGTGTTTTTGCAAATATGCCAGTACCTCTGCTCATGTATTCATTCATTCATTCCAGTGAGGAGACCATTACCACTGTTGTGAAGAACCCACGCATGAGGAGACACAGATCTCCAGGCTTGACTGTTCCTGGAGCCCACCGCTCTGAGACCTCCACCCCTGAGCCACCTGCAACCAGGCCAAGAAGGATGCCCACCCCGAGAAAGACCACCATCCCAACCCTCTATGTTACTGAGTCTGAGGGGACTGGAGCCAGGGCAGCAGAGAGCAGGCCCAGGTGGGTTGAGGTGGAGGAGGTCATCGAGTATAAGGTCAATAAGTCTCCCAGACTGCCCAGGAGAAGAGGAATTTCACCTGCAGGCTCTGATCGTGCAGCCACCCCCTCCAGACCTAAGAGGTCTCCCCTAGACAACTTCAATGCCAACAACTCAAATAACAAGCTGGTGGAGCAGGCGCAGAAACATCTGAACGGAGACATCAGCAGCCAGAGCGTCTCCTGGGAGGAAGACGAGCCTCAGATCGCTTCGGGCTCTGCTTCGAGAGAACCACATGAACTTTCATCTGTCCTAACACTTGCTGAAGATGCTGATGACCAGGATGATCAACAAACTGTTATCTTTGAACCTGAAGATGAGGATACTGAGGAGCCTGAACCAGTAGTTCTGAAACAAGGAGATCGTATTTTGAACCTGGAAGACTTGGAGGATTACATCCCAGGAGAAGGCGAAACCTACGGCTCCTCCAGCTCCTCTCACATCTCTGATGAGAAACCCTGTGAGATTTCTGTCCTTCAGAGGGAGATCGGGGGGTCCCAAGTGGGACAGCCAGTGTTTCTCAATGTGGGGCGGCCTGATATTGTTCCAAGGCAAAGAAGTGGCTTCTTTGGCCGCTTCAGGGAGCATATCTCCAACAATCTTTTCCCCTCTACCTCTCCGCAAGAAAGCGGAGCTCGACCCCGAACTGAGAGACAAGTCCCAATCCAAGTGAGCCATGCAAAGCTAGAGGTGAAGCCCTCCTACTGCTCCGAGGTGCAGAGAGTAGAGGGCGGGCAGCAGAGCTTTAAAACAAAAGTGTCCACTCAAACCTACGGCTACACATCAGTTGGAAATCCTGTCACTCTTCAAATTAAAGAGAAGCCCTTTCAAAGCCAGTAAACATCTTCTAATTGGTGACACAAATCCTTAGTCTTAAATGGATAATTTGTGCTTGCATGGTTAAAATAATCTAACAAAATAATATCTACTACATTTAAAAAACCATTCCGTTTTGAAGCAGCCAGTCAGAAAATAGTCTGATCCTCAGTTGTTTTTGCGGGATTCAGAGTTTTCTTTAGGCAAGGGAATGTGGAAACTGCAAATTGTAGGGATACATATGTCTCTATAGACAAGTTTCAGTCTCATTCTGTAATTTTAACTGCTGCATGACATGCAGCATAAATTAAGTGGACAGATGACAAGGAAATATAAAGTAACATTTTACTGTTAATGAGTTGGAAGTTTGTTTTCATAGACGTGCCATCATAAAATCATCATATCGGCAATAGTAACTCATCCAAGCAGTGACATTTTGAACACCTCTGACTTTATTTCTGGATTGTCATTAAATGCATATTAGTATCATATCATCAAGGTTTTTTTTTTGTACTTTTCAGAAGCGTTTTTGTTTCACAGTGTCTATGAGCTTTGAAACTGAAAATACTTACAATGAACAGTGAAGACTGACTTTCTGCACTGCTTGCTGTTGTTTAGGTTTAATCACTGGTGTGCAATTAAATCATAGACAAACTTTGGTGTAGATGTATGAATGATTCCTTGGTGAACTTTAGATTGCTTAGCTTTTTTTCAGGTACCATCAACTAAGGCTTAGTAGTTGATAACTGAAACATACGTCCATATTCTATCATTTACTTTTCTTTTTTTTTTTTTTTTTTTTTACAAAGCTTCTTTGACAAATTTGGGCCTTTTGATGTTTGGCAGTTGCCTGCAAATTCAAGGTTCAACAAGGGCATCCTTTTGTGTGTCCGTGACATATTTATGAGTGACTGCATGTATTTGCTTTGTAAACCAAACGTGTTAAGCAGAACCGTCTTGTATTTACACTATGTGAAAATGTTGATAGACCTGAAATTCCAGGACATCACTTTCTTGGAAGACGTTGCTGTGCTTGTTTCTATATTAAGGTGTCATCGATTGGGTATGGACTATGTATGTTATGATATTTTAGGTCTAACAGATTGTAATTGCTTGCAATGTTCATGTGGAGTTGTGGACAATAATGAGGTTGAGCACAAAGTAAATAAATGTACAGAAAATACTTAAAAGATTACCTGCTTCTTCTATCATTACCATACACAGGTGTATCTTCATTTATTTTTAAATTATCATTGAAAAATAAATTGAATGAAAAAGTGAAATAAAATATTGTTTAAAGCATGTATTCCTGTTAATGATGAATATAAAGAACACCGTTTCTCAGAAAACTAAAAATCTTACAGAAATATTTTGTTAAAGCTCTTTTATGACCTGAACAATAACTGGGAACTCTTCTGACTGAACAGCTGTCCAGCTCTTGTTAAGACTAAAGAAAGAGGGTAAAAGGGTTAGTGTTTTTTCCATTTGTCTAATTAAAGTTTCTGATAAATTAAGTTCTGGGTTTTCATCAGCTGTAAGCTTTAATAATCAAAAGTAATTGATAAATGTTTAAAATCCTCTAAGAAATGCATATTAATTTCAGTTTTTAAATACAATTAAACTAGGTCTTTGAGCATATGGTACTGAGATAGACTTGTGTGATTAAACAAATAATGCATCTTGTATCTGTAACATTTTATTGAAGTTTTAACATATAACATATTTAGTATTCCAAAGGACGTATTGCCGGAATTAAGAATTAGCTCAAATAGTGAACAATATCAGGAATACATAACTTTTGGTCAGATGAATTGATTTGACAAAATTCCATTAATAGTTTTACTTTGTAAGAGTTGCTGGAAAAAATTATTGATGCTAGTTTACAAGTACATCATAGATGTCCTTTAAAGGGGCAGCAGTATGTATTTTTCAGACACATTGTGATAAAAATAGCACAATCAAGTAACTACTACCTTCAGCATGTCACCTCAATGTTTCTCTATTAAGCCTTTAACTTCATTCTTAGGAGCATTGCCCTGAAAAGTAGTTTACATGAGTTCAGCAGATGTGCAGTTCCACCAGCTGTTTGCTAATTGCTGCTGCTGCTAGTCTGAAGGAGATTAATGGGGGATGCGTGGGCAAGGGTTGCTCTGTGAGGAACAAACTCTGCTTAGATACTATAACTCCAAAGAGCTTTGTGGAAAAGGCAGCGCTCAGTCCCATCAAGCGTTTTGCAAACTCGAATGGCTGCCAGAAAAGATTAGAAAATTTCTCAAACATACATAAAATTATTAATGCAACACTCAACAAAATATCTGGTTTACATAATACTGCCCCTTTAATTTGATTTCCTGTGCTTTTTTGTTTTGTGGAATATATAAACCTTAAATATGTCCATTTATTTATGCTTTATAGTCCAATGAATGTAATTTCACTATACACATAAAGCTACAATGTGAGCAAGTTACACAATATAAAAGTTTATAAAATTACACTTGTAAAATAGTCAACATTGTATACCCCGCTTAAAACATAAAGTGACAATGACAAAGGATTTGTTTCTCTAAGCAAGACTGGATTTAACTTACTTGAGCACAACACAATCCAAATGAAACTTATAAAAACTGTTAACATATACAACAACAAAACAGCTTTAAAATGCTTTACCAACTCTGGAATAAAAGTAATGTTTCAAAAGAATACCTGACTTACATATACCTCCTGAAAGTAAACAGCCACAGATGAATTTTAAACCCTGCCTAACCACCACATATCACAACTCTGGATTTTCCTACTTTATTGACATTAAATGACATCACCAGGTGAGCACAGTTTGGTGTCAACAACCAGCATCTCATATCAACTGGCTTTACATCCTAAAATTGGTTTGTCCACCTGATGGAATGGGTCACGCTGCTCCCTGTTCCATGCACCACGAACACCATGCAGTCCCGACTGAAGAGAATTCCGTAACAACAGGAATCTTCCTGTTTTGTGCAAGTCAGACTTCAAGTAAAATTCATTGGAGTAGCTTTTTTCAAACAAAGAATAAAGGTAAGAAATCTAAAAATGCTAATTAAAAATAAAACCCTTTTTTTTTTTAACTAAAATTAACTTAATCTAAATACATGTTTGTTGATTCCTTATAGTAAGCTGAGTTTCACAGACCACCATCTGAGGGAATGTACAAGTCAAATGGAGGTCTAGACTTATGGGGGAGTGGATGGATGAGGTGCCAGGCTGTGCCGTCTTCTACGACGAAGTCTTGGCTTTCTTGACTTTGTTAATTTCCTACAGAGAGAGAAATCAAGCCCATTACAAGATATATCAAACACATAAACCCTGCATTGTTCTTGTGGTATTCTCATTACAAAATTTATACCTCAGGCTCAGATTTGTAGATTTTTATGTTTTCAATATTAGAACATATTGTGTATTCCAAAAACCATAATAAATTGCCACAGCAGCTTCAGTCATTTTTTGTGTTTAGAGAAACATTGAGGTTTGTGACTATAACATGACAAAACTTGGCACAATTCAACTGATACGCCCATTTTAAATTTAAGAACTTCAACAAAAGATTCATTTTAATTGGAATCTTTAATTCCTGATGAAAACTGTATGAAATCTGTTGACTTTCCAGATACAATACTCTCAGCAGACTACAAGCCAACCATCTCATCTGCTCCAGTGTTAATGATCTGTGCTTACACTGCAAGTCTACATGTTTCTACATGTTTCTACATGTTTTAGAGTTTTGGGAACTTTAGAGTGAGTGGAAACCAATTAACACCACTGCCTCCTCACCAGAGGTGTTTTCACATTTGTAAACACATGTGCTTTGACATTTAATTATTGGGTTCAAAATGACAGCAGCATCTTCTGTCTCCTCCATCAAAAGTTGAAACAATACAGCTGACCATCCTCACAGCTTCTCTCAATTGTTGAGCAGCTTGCTGGTTAAGCTCAGTTTAGCTCATTTGATGCAAAAGTAGCTCACCTCAAGAAGAGCTTGTTTTAAATTCTTATAAGCGTCATCCAAATTGTCATTGACGATAACCACGTCAAACATGCCAGGTTCTTTACCTAAATGGGAGAAACCATAAGAGAACGTTTCATATTAAACATACTTATGGAGCTCTACTTTAGAGTTTTGGGAATAAACTTACTTAACTCCATGTCCACCTTGGCTGCATGTAAACGCTTCTGAAGGCTCTCCTCTGACTCTGTATTCCTGTCCCTTAATCGCTTCTCCTGTAACGCCCAACAAGATTGATTATAAACAGGAAAACTCATAGAACCAATCTTGCTGTACAAATTCCAATTATGCTCACCAGGATTTCCATGGATGGCGGCTGGATGGAGATGTACATGGGATTGAGGTCTGTCTTCTTGATGTTCTTCACTCCTTGCATGTCAATGTCAAGGATACAGATGAGATTCTTGGCCTGGACAGCTTGGACGGCGGCTTTGCTTGTGCCGTACAGGTTTCCAGAAAACTCTGCATTCTCGATGAAATCGCCATTGTTTATGGCCGCCTGCATAGCCTCCCGTGTAACATAATGGTAGTCTAAAATCCAACACCAGAACACGGAGGGATCAGGCTTATAGAAAAACCAGAAAGCATGTGGACTGCTGTTATTACAGTGAAAGCAAAGACAGATGCTATACCTCTGCCGTTCTCTTCTCCTGGACGAGGGTTTCTTGTTGTATCTGGAAGATTAAATGATACAAGAGTTAGATTCTCCAGAACTGCAAAAGTTTCAGTACTTACAGATGTCATTTCTCCTTTTATGTTATGCATTTATTCAGAGAGAAATCATCACACTCATAGAGCAAATTGGAAGAGTAGAAGACATCCTAATCGCAAAGAAAACCAATAAAATAAAACCAAGTTTGCTGCAAATAACAGGACACATCTTGAAATGTTGTCCAGCAGATCACTAAAAGAAAAGGAAAAATTGTATCCAACTTCATCACCACCATTTAAAGTAATAGGGGAGAGGGTAACTCCCTCCAGTGAGGGAACATCCATTACATAAAAGTAAAAGAGTGGAAGCATATATGAAACTTACACAATAGCTTACCCATAACCTGATCTCCAAATCTAGTTAAACCCGTAGCATTACCATTACAGAACAGAGGTTTCCTGCTTTATCAGCAGGTCTACTGCTATTAGGTCAGTGCTTCCCACTGTTGAGCTAATTTGCATTTTGACCAAAGCTAAATTTTGCTTGTCTCTATTCAGATGTAAAGCTGCAAGCACACGGACATTTGGCCAACTTACAGACCATTTGGACAATCTGTGGATTATTATACGGTTTGAAAAACAAAGAAAGTTAACTGAATGTGTTTATATTTCAACTTCTGCTCCTCTAAATGGCAAAATAATGCATTTATTTTGATACATTTTGCCTGTCAACACTAGTGCACTCTTCAAAGTGCACTTTGAATATTCTTTTTTTTTCCAAGTATTGAAAAAAATCAAAAACAAAACTGAAACCTAATAAAACATGATAATATATGTTCAAAAGTCCATAAAATAAAATTCCTCTTCTCCACTTATTTGAATACAGATCAAAATAATGAACACAAAATGTCAAAAAGACAAGACAGACTTTTTATTAATCAGCAGGACACACTTACGAGAGACACTGAAGCCAAACACATTTTCATGTTCCTTGATAAGTTTCTTCAGCAGGGTGCTTTTTCCTGCCCCGGACGGACCACTAAACACCACAGGCCTGGGTCCAGCCATAGCTGAAACAGAAGAAGAGAAAAGGGCTGGAGTTATTTAAAAATGTTTAGGTGGGGCAGTAAGGATTTACTCATAAAAGTAAAAATTGGTCTAGGTCTAAAAAAAATTTTTCTCCAGCAAAATTTTCACTTCAGCATTGGTGGGTAAATGTTTTTGAGAAGAGTAATGCTGAGGAGAAAAATAACCAAGCGATGTGGCCTATAGTTAACAGTTGCCTGCTCTGAGCCAGAGTCACTAGGGAAGTCACTAAATAGAAACTATTGAACCTGAACGTGATAACAAAAAACAACTTCATACAAGAGGTGAAAGAAGAAAGGCTGCTTTGGATAGCACACAAAAAGCCATTTAAAGCTCAATTATACAACAACTTCCTTGCGAAAAAAAGCTCAAGCCAAGAGTCTGTTTCGACTCACATATTCCCACCGTTTCTACACTTTGACGCTACATCTAATCCACTACCGATGTCTTCCATCAGAATGCTCAAACAAAGATTAGAGAGCCATCTGTAGTGTTTCTCCTTACCTTTTAATGCACAAGAGTTCAAGCAGGTGAAGAGATGAAATGAGCTGTCAGGGTACGATTGAGATAAAACAGAGCGAAAGCAGAAATAGAAAGGGGTGGAGAAAGCAAGAGGGTGTGGCAGGGCTACCTGTTAAACCAGCCTCTGTTTTGTTTTATTCTTTGCAACAGATAATAAGGGAAACAAAAATCACATGGTACCACAACCAGCAGGATCTGATAGTTATTGGAGACAGCCCCCTAGCTAATTTTAAACCCGTGCACTCTCACTCATGTGACTAGTATTTTTGCCTTGAATAAAGTTAAATCTCAGGAGTTCCATAAATGCCAGAAGACAAACGAATTGAAACTAAAAAGATTTTGACAAAACATTTTCTTAGTAATCATTTAAATATTCTTTAAAATGTAAATAAATAAATAAACTTAAGTCTTTAAAATTGTTTTGGCATGTTATTTTTCCAGTATTGTTACTTTTTGTTATTTTTTTTTTTTTTTGCTATTTTACTGCCTCAGTGATTTTCTAAGAAGGAAGTTCCAGAACATTTGAGGAAATACAACTAAAATACAGACATTCTTACAATGCAGACAAAGAGAAGCTAAACTAGCACCACATGTAGAGTAATGAGTGTTTAGAATCTGTGTAGAACAACAACCCAGATTCAAATCTCATTTTTTAATGTTCTGACTGCATGGTTCTGATTGATTATTCTTAGTTGTTCAAACAACTATAATTCAAAACAAAGAAATTTAAACTATTATGAGCACCAATTGATTTAGAAAGATTTAATTAAATAAAGTGTGGAAGCAGTGACTGACATTACAAGCTGCAGATCCATCATGCTCCCTTAAAGTGAATATAATTACTGAAAAGTTAAAACCTGAATTTTGCCGTTTGTACTGTAAGGTATGAGCTTGTTGGTATTTATAGATTAAAATGCTTCCTTAAGTAGGCCTACTTGCTTCAGCTCCAAATAAATTACAAATGGAAAAAGTAAAAAAGTATCAGAATCATCTGAAAACTCCCCACATTTCAAGCTCCATCTTTTCCTGGTACACTATGTAAACAAGCAAACTCCAGGAATGAATGGCACACCCAGACATTAAGACATCCGGGATGAAAAGAGGCGATAAAACATAAACATCATCCCTCCTACCTGAAAATAGTCTTGTAAAATGTCTCAGGTACATCGAGGGTTAGATTATTCCAAGCCTCTGAGGCCGTTTCCGGAGGATTTTCTTCCTCTACTGGCCTGAGCTTTCGTTGTGAGAGCCATTAGATAAAAACTGCTGCTGCCTGCGTCATCACTGCGGACCAAAACATCAGCCTTCAGCGTCAAAACCACGCGCGGTAAAACGAGGAAACGGTTTTTTTTCGTAATTTACTTTAGCCACGAACATTTCAGGAAAATGTCAGTACATAACTGATATTTTTTATTATGTTCATATTAATTATTGCAAGTAGTTCGTAATAGCTGTATAAACACGTTAAGGACGCGGTGTTACCATAGCTACTTGAAATAGGCTAGTTGTGAGGCAGCGCTGCTGCAATTTCTTTTGCTATATTTAAAAACATCCGCCTCAATTGGCGTACGTTTCCAAAATTAAACCATACCAGTGAACGCGTTGCTCCCTTTCGATAGTGGGACGTTAAAACTCACCACACAACTTCCCCGGATGAAAGATTCCCGAAGGCCCGACCAATCACACGGTTCGTTAGCACGTTAGCTGCGTGCGCTAGCGGCGTGTAACTGATTTTTCGCTCGACTCGCGGGACTTTTTCTGCCTAAAATGTTTGGCTCGTCAAGATCTGGGGGCCTACGCGGAGGTCAGGACCAGTTCAACTGGGACGACGTGAAAGTCGATAAACACAGAGAGAATTATCTGGGTAAGTTCAGAGGCGTAGCTTTTATCAGGGCTAATCAGACGGCTAGCGAGCAAACGAAAACGACTAGGGAAGATAGCCAAAACTCGCAGGCAGTAAACACATGTTGCCCCCTCATACGGCTGTCTCTTACCTTTTGATGTAGAGTCCCTCATTACATAGAATCTGGACGGCTTGATTTGCTTGCTCTTGAAGGCGTGTTTCACTCCCCGGCAGCTAGTTTCCACTTTCACATTGCCTCCTCTTTAGGCAAAAGAGCCTCTCGGCGGTCTGTGCCCTGACCGCTGACCAGCAAGTCAGAATGCCAGACAAGAGGAGCTACGTAGTAGCACAGATGTGACATAAAAGGCGAGTTAGCCTTGCACAACTTGTTTGCCAACTTATATGTTGAGGTATCTCTGTAGTAAACAAATACGATAACAAAGAAAACAATTTACAAAATTGTGTTAAACATTTTAGCATGTAAAACCTCCCCTCCCATTGCAGTCCTAATTTTTTGAAACCTACACAAGTACATCTCAGTAAATTAGAACAACATCGGGAAATTAATTTATTCAGCAATTAATTTCCATATGTGAACCCTGTATATATTGATTACGCTTAAATTGATATAGTATAATAGTTTGTTTCTCGTCCTTTTGATGATACTTACAGGAGCTACATAAGGTCTTAAAAAAAATAAAGATTAAGTTATGGCCTACTACACAGTCACATGCTTGTTGAGGAGTCATTGACTCCCTGTACAAAGAGGGTGAGCCACAACACTTCCTATTACATTTTAGATGGTATTTTTACACATCTGTAAATATCACACAACATTTATCAATTTAGAAATATGTCCGAAGTTGGGATCCTTCTTAACACAACCTGATTGACTAAAATAAATTGATTCGGTCTTTTAACACACCTTTTTCTCATTTACCAAACAGTTAATAAATAACCTTTGATTGATATAAGATGCTACTAGTTAGGATATTTACCTAAATGAGATTTGAGTAAATGTCCTCATCCTAAAATCTCTTCAGTCTGTACCAATTAAAGCTGCAGTAGGTAACATTTTTTTTTATAAACTGTCACTTTGCTGTGACAATATAATATGAGACAGATGGTCTGTGAAAAGAATCACACTCTGTGGTCCTTCTGGAAAAACAATCAGAGCCAGGAGGAGTGTCTTTGCATTGTCAGTATGTGTATGCTATTTACTGGTGTTTTGTGAAATTTTAAGCAGGATCGGGGGTGATCGGTGATAAATAATGACAAGACGCTGTTCTGCTAGAATAAATGTGTCCTTTTATTTTACAGATTACAGCAAATTTATTCACACAGCAAACAATACGCAATGCTTAGATTCTTTCAATCCGCTCTTACCGTGACACAGTGAACCGGAGAGTCGACAGTTCAGGGAAGAGCTGCAGCAACACGTAATTGGGCGTCCGTACTCTACTCCGACTCTATTCTGACTCAACAATGGGACTTTTCCGTCTTTATACTCATTACCAAAAAATCCTCGAATGAAAGAAGGGAATGGCCATTTCCCCTCTTCCTGACGGTTAGCCAATCAGAATGCTACTTCCCTGCCCACGACTTGACCATGAGTTGAGAGAGTGATCAATTAGCATACAGTTCTCAGTCTCCGGTTGTCGGTGATCAATTAGCATACAGTACTCAGTCTCCGGTTGTCCGTGATCAATTAGCATACAGTACTCAGTCTCCGGTTGTCCGTGATCAATTAGCATACAGTACTCAGTCTCCTGTTTTCCATGTCTCGACCCCCGTTGTCCATGGGCTCCAGAGGCGACAGCATTCCCTGATTCAATCAACATACAGCACTCAACCTCTTAAAATGTGTTGAAAATGTATAAAATGAGCATGAAACATACAATTTATCACAGAACATAAAAAAATTCTCATATCAACTGGGAAATTAATAATTTTATTAAAGCTAAACCGTCCAGCTAGTGAGTGCTCAGTGAAAATAAAATAAAAATCTAAATGCAAGAAACTGGGAGGAAAAATTTGCTTCCAAATTTATTTGATTGACATCAACATTTAAACTGTCCCCAACCACTTGCTCTGTTTCGTTTTTAGGAAACTCCTTGATGGCACCGGTTGGAAGATGGCAAAAAGGTAAAGATCTGACGTGGTACGCAAAAGACAAAAAAACTGGCAAACCGTTATCCAAAGAGGACGAGCTTGCTGCTGTGAAAGCAGCAGAAGAGGAAGCACTGATGGCTGCGCTGTACGTATGAATTCAAATGTACATTTATTTAACACAAGAACTTTGGAGCTTCAAAATGCCTAACAAACCATTTACATTTTCAATTTAGAGGTCACAAAGTTATAAAGAGACAACCAACTGGTCTTACCAAAGAGGTACGTTTTTTTGCTAGTGAACAGACTAAATCTGTTCACCATTGCCTAAGATCAAAAGGTTTACATTTAATTCAATTTTCACAGGATCTTGTAGAGGTTTGTAGAAGGGAAGAGGCAGACGGTGAAGAGAGGAGCGTGGATCGTATATCAGGCTTGGGAAGCTCCAGGTGATTACCCATATCATATGAAATTAGCAATGATTCCATTTCAAGTTGAAATGTGAGCCCATGTATTGTAATCAGGTTGCAGGTTAGAACATTGTAACCAGTCTTACCCGACTTGAAAATGAATGCATTTAACTATTGAAACAAGCACATCAGCACTCAGTTTTCTTTTAAAGAAGCCAAATTATAGGCCCACATTATATGAGTTAGATTTTTGTAATTGTATCTGCGGGAAAAAAAAGGCAACTGCAGCTTATCCAAATAATCCATGTGGTCAGAGTCCTGGCCAGCACCAGCAAATTGAATCATATCTCATACAATCCAACTATGTAAAGCAATTTTAAAATGTCACGGATGGTTGTGTGTCTTAAATGTAATATTTGTTTATTTCTGGTTCTTTAGTTTACTGAAAGAATTCCCTTTTTGTTAAGTAGTGCAACTGAAAAAAAATGGCCTTGGCTGACACAAAGTGCTCATTTTTCTCCTTTGCTTGTGTTTGAAGTGTGGGGTCACGGAAGATGTTGCTGTCCCAAAAAGAGAAAGAAGCGGCTAAAATGGGTCTGCCGATTTTTACAGTGAGTTCAGTTTCCTTTTCAACTGTTCAATGCAGATTACCTGATGCTGATCCTTGTAACAATGGCAGGTTCAGTTAATGGTTACTTAAGATTTATTTCCTGCTATAATCTCTCCACCATAGTGCAAAATTGTAACCATTCTTGTTGTTTAGCACCACAAGACTGAAGGTCATCAAGAAACATCTGCAACAAAAACATCTGAGAGCGTTGAAAAATCAGAAGAGACAGAAAAAGGGTAAATGTGAATCTTACTGACCCTTTATATCTTCAAAACATCCAGCATTAAGCAGACATGATGAAAAGGTAGTCTGGATAGAATAGGCCATGATAATGAAGGTCAACTTTTGTTTAATTTTAGTTTGCATGAGAGCAAAAAGAAAAAGAAAGAAAAAAAGAACAAAAAGGAAAAGAAGAAGAAAGAAAAAAAGAAGAAAAGGAAAAGACGAGATTCGTCAACCTCCGAGTCCTCATCATCGGATGATAACAGGAAAAGGTATGTCCAACGACAAACTGGTTTGTGATGTACTCAAATAATCCCCACATCGTATCAAATCAGAAACATCATCCAATTTCACTGTGTGCAATATCATAATCACAAAGACCAGCTTGGAAGCATGATTTGGTTGACTTTTATATTTTCATTCATTTTCTTGGAAATGTTTGGATATTTTGTGGTTATGGTGGTCACTATGTTTCTTTTCTTTCCTGTCTGACCACACACAAATAAAGGCCACAGGAGCTGATAAGACCTCAAAAAATTGCATTTTTGCTTTTTCCAACTTTACTTTTTGTAGAGATAAAAATTGCTAATAGCAGGTGTTATTTTATTCATTAATGTTACATAAGTTATGTCGGTAAATTGTCATTAATTGTGGCCATTTCATTTGAAACTCGCTGCTCTGAACATTGGCTAAGCATTTCTTCAAGTGAAAGAGATCGGGCCTTTGCTATTATGGGATGGCAGCTCGGAGACAACAACAATCAGGTTTCCAAAAATTCTGCAATCCTTAGACTGATAAAAACATGAAGCAAAACTGAAGAAAAGTGTGAAACAACTCATTCTCTGGACAACAAAGGCCTCACTCAGCCTTTGGTGTCCAGAATTAGGGAATTTGGGATCTATTTTTTTGAGTACATCCATTGTTTGTTTTGTATTAGCTTGACACTCACTGGAAAACCAGGAAAATATAAATATATATATCGTTTTTATTAATTCCTTTTTTCACATTCTCTTCACAGGATTTTCAGCTTTAGATTATGTTTTTGTACAGAACTCTCTGGATTTTTTGTGTTATGTTTTTAAAAATTAGCAATGGCACCACTCTAATGTCCATGTATGCATTCATTGCAATGACATCAAAGGCTTTCTACTCTTGTGCATAATTTCTTTGTGCTGTCTTCATGTTAACACCAGTGATTCAAAATAGTAGATCACCACTAGATGGCGATGGGACACTGTTCTCCATTTTGCTTCCTAGCAAATTTATTTTTTCAGTTTTGGTATTTTCTTATATTTAGGATTTAAGATGCTTACAAGAGTTGTAGGAAGTAATTTATGAGAATACGAATAGAATTTGCTTCATATGGAGGGTATCATTGTTTTTAATTTATCTGGGAAGCACTTTGTGATTTTTATCTGTGAAAGGTGCTGCATCAATGCAATTTACTTACAGATTGAGAGGTGCAAATACAACTACTGATATGAGCAACTTTATAGCAACTTTTTTTTTTTTTGCATGTCCCCCATAAAGCACCATGCAGTCGCTGATGCCCCAGTAGTGTGTGCTACATCTTATCAGATACCCCACCTCACCCCACTCATTGATTGTTTCCTTTTACTTTTCAGACACAGAAAGGACCACCATCATCATAATCCATCATACCATAGTCAGAGTGGAGCCAGACCCCATGACAGCCATTCAAGGGAGGGAGCAAAGGCCGAGCGACAGCCGTCCCGCCCCCGTCATCGACGGCAGAGGCACGATACAGACTCTTCTGATGGGGGGTCTCCAGCCCGCAGTAACTCTGCCTTCCACAAGAAGGCCCCCGCTGGTGCCACACAAAGTCACAGGAGACGCCACGACACAGACTCGGACGACTAATGTCGCTCGCTCCCCCACCAAAACCAGTATAGTGCAAACACAGCTTTTTAGGACCTCCTGGATCATGGTCAGCCAGGAATACTGTGATGCTTCTTACGTTATGCTTTATGTAATACCACTAGTTCCCCATGTGAGAAAGATGAGCTTGGTGTTTCTATTTAATTTTGGTGATGAGTCCATCTTGTTTCCGAAGCAGTTTTGTCATTAAATTCACAACTGTATTTGTTTTGCTTGTTTGTCCAAAACCTTTTTGGCTTTGATTTTCCAAAGAATTCCTGAGGCAAAATTTCATCTTTTTATGTTTTATAATTTTTTCTAACATACATTAGTTGACACTTTTTCCTTCTCATTGAAACATAGTATTGTAATGTGGACACAGTTTTAATTTAATAAATTATGAAGCATATTGTATTGAGATATAATTAATAAACCAGTTTTAGGTTTTTAGTTGAAATGGCTTTGATTGATACTTATTGATGCTGTATGATACTAGTGGTATGCTCTTCACTTGAGAGTGTAGTGCTTGCATTTGCCTTGAATGGGTTTGAAAGAGGAGATATTGCATGCTGGTACCTGGGGGGTGCGCACACACACACACACACAAAAGAGCAAGATGTTCATTAAGAAGAGTGCCAAATACCAGACTGGTCTTTTTTTTTGATGGAGTACCGTTCTGCCGCCACACACGAACCAAGCTGATGAAGCAGCGGGAGCAGAGGCCAAACAAAGCCACCCTATGTGGGACTTGAGGCTCAAACTACTACGCCTACCACCACTACCACACTCTCCTGCCATGTTTTATAGGCTTGGCTGCATTAACCATGGCAGCCTAATCAACCTGCAAGAATGCTAGACTGCCACCCTTACACAAAGTGAAGCAGGGTATGCTCTTCACATTACTGCTTTAACCTCAACAGTGGGTAGGTCATCACTTATGGGAATTGTATTTCTTCCTCATTTCATAATGATTTTTCTTAAGTATGAACTTAAGTGATTAATATTACAAGGGTTCTTAATGAATCTGCTGAAGTGTCTTGCAAAAATACTCATACACATTGATGATTTCACACTACCAATTAATGTATTCTGATAGATTCTCAATTAGATTTGGGTTAGTGCTTTGTGCCGTTCTACATGAATATTGATCTAAACCTTTGTAACTCTGATTCTGTTTACCAATTCTCAACTCAAGCCAATGTTTGATGCCCTTATTTCCTGGTCTCTGTTTAGTCGGATGTCCATGCAGGTTTGGAGTTCACATTTTCTATCCATTTTTATGTTCCTTGGTCTTCGTGATGCCTTTACTCCCAAATTATTCTAACAAAACTGAGGCACTCAGAGCTGTATTCAAACCAAGGTCAAATAATACATTGCTTGAATCCACTTAACAACTAAAACTTAAATCAGTTGGTTTTTCTAGATTTTAAGGAAATCAGGGTAACTCATAGCTCCTAAATAAAAATAAGAAACACTGCTCAGCTAAGAGTCCTATTTCACGAAAAATGACTGAATACACATTTTTTAGTGACAGTAACTGAAAGCTTTACCATTCAGTTTTGATTGTGTAGTACAATAAAACTCCAGAATCATTTTGTAGCCGGTCACTTTTATTGCAATGTGACCCCAACCCTCCACAAATCTTGACAAACATTAACATCGACAGACTTATTGCAATATTAGAACAATTAGGCGATTCGAAATCAAAAAGAACATAATAAACCAACAAGGAAACACCAACATTTTGTAAGACAAATCTTGGAAAAATAAAGGCATTTGTTTGGCTTTTTGTTTACATCAAAGATGGTGGCACTTTGATGCAGCTGATTTTGGTATTGCTTTCAAAATGCTGTATCCCCAAACTGAGAAGAATCAAGCATGCGGTCAGCTGCCTAGAACCTTAAAATATGGCACCAAACAGCTCAATATATTTCACACAGTACACTCAGAGATAAATGATTATAGAGTTAATGGGATAAGTACTCAGTAGGCAAGGAATTTCTCCTCTGGGTAAAGATATAAACACCCAGTAGACATGCTTGCTCTGAAAAAGCTACATATGACCAACCTGAGACTCCTAAATAGAAAAATCAAAACTGACCCAGTGCCGACCTGACACCATTACACAGATAGTGTGCGATCACTGCAGTATGTTCACTTCCATCAATTTTTTTTTACAAAAAAGCTGGTGAGTGTTCACAGATGAGAGCAATGTCAGTACAAACGGTTAATGCCAGTGTTCTGTTTAAATTCAAGATTTTTTACATATTACTGCAGAGGTTTCAAGTAGTGCATCAGTATAATTCGGTTTATTTCAACACTCTCCCTCCCCACTGATCAGTCCTTATATTACCTAACTGAGGCCATTTGATTGTGTTGAGTTTCTGGGGCCAAAATATTCTGGTAAATTTCTTCTCTTAATTTCTTTGTCAAAGTTAAAGCCACCCAACAGCCAAGAAAAGTCAGTGCAAGAAGATCCCTATTACCAAAAATTATTTACAATTACATAAAATAAAGTGTACTAACAAAAGCTTTACAAGATTAGAAAAACCCCACTACTGGCCTGTGTAAAGCTGAGCAGAGGGATGGTTTCCAGTATGGGGTTGATTCAGTTTTACTTAGAAAGGAGAAAACATGAGGGATTGGGTGGAACAGAGTATTTTTTAAATGCTCTAGCCATTAATGGTTTTTGAGCTGATTAGACAGCCAATCAAGTCCTTCATAGAGACCGTCTCCAGTAGTGGCACAAGTTGCCTGGATGTACCAGTTTCTGTTACGCAGGGAGTGAAGGTTCAACTTGTCTGTCAACTCTGCAGCATTCATGGCATTTGGAAGGTCCTGCAAGCAAATCACGAAGAAATATTTTAAAAGCTAGCACCTAGAAAAAAACAGAAGAGAGGGCTAACACAGAAAATGCCAATCATGTTTTTAAGGCTTTCATTACTTACTTGTTTGTTAGCAAACACTAAAAGCACAGCATCACGCAGTTCGTCTTCAGCCAACATCCTCAAGAGCTCTTCCCGAGCCTCAGCACATCGCTCCCTGTCATTGCTATCCACGACAAAAATCAGACCTAAATATATATATATATAAAAAAAGACAGAAAAGCGTTAGGAGCATTTTTACAAAGCAGTTGGTCTAACAATGAAATATAAAACTAATCAAAAATTACCCTGTGTGTTCTGAAAATAATGACGCCAGAGTGGTCGGATTTTGTCTTGACCGCCAACATCCCATACTGTGAAACTGATGTTCTTATACTCTACTGTCTCTACATTGAACCCTAAGGAAGAAAGCACAAAAATAAATAAAAACAGCACTTTCACCAACATGTTTTAGCAGCCAGACAGGACACACCTCAAATAGCCTTCTGTCCAGCTATGTGCCAAGCACAATATTTGACCCACCTATTGTTGGAATGGTTGTCACAATCTCTCCAAGTTTAAGTTTGTACAAAATAGTTGTCTTTCCTGCAGCATCCAAGCCGACCATAAGTATCCGCATCTCCTTCTTCCCGAACATTTTAAAGAGCCCTGCAAACATATTCCCCATGGCTGCCGGTGATGGGAAAAGAAATCACTTCAGGACAAAAACGCTGTGATAAATCCGCCAAATCTGAGGATAAACAGAAACAATTGATGACCAATGAAGCAACAAATTGCTGCTCAATTTAGCACCATGAGAAGCTTTGATATTGATTTCAAAGCTTCAATAAATTAAATAAATCAATATGAATAATCAAAATGAAATTTTTAAGATTTGCTTTGTGTTTATAAATGCTGACAAGTCTGAAATATGTTTTCTCTTGTGGTGATTCTGTATCCATTCACTGTAAAACCGCAGCAATTTTTCCACACCCATCTGAACAGAGTAAAATGTAGCAATCCATAACTCTAATGCAACACTGGCAACACCAATCTCCTATCGGTGCTTTTATCAGACATAGAAATCTCGAAGTCAGTGGTTTCCAAACAAACTATTCAATGAAAAAAAAAAGTAAAACCAATAGAAAATATGAAGATATAAAAATACACACACAGTTTTAGATACCCAAGACATAAAAGTTTAACACAGGTAAAATAAATGTAATTTACAACACTTTATTCATTCATGTTGTTAGTGGCATAAAACATTTACAATATACTGCTTTTTAGGCTCCTGGATAAACAACCTTTGCATACAAGAAAAGACAAGGATATGAATTCTTAACTAATTACAATCTCCAGCCATCTGAACAATGAGATGTTGCTTTAATGTTGTTTTATTTCATTTATTATTGTGGTGTGAAAAAAAGTGATGATGCCCTTCCTGATTTTCCTTTTATGAATGTTTGTCACTCTTGAGTAATAAAGTCAAAGATAATATAAGTAAACAAAAACTTCAGTTTTTAAGTAAAAGCGTTTAATACTGAGAGAGAAAAAATAGAAAAAGTATAAAAGAATAAAAAGAAAATAAAAAAAACAATATCATACCAAGAGTAAAATGTGTTGGTGGTCGTGTGATTGTCTGGGACAGTCAGGAGGACTGGCTGTGAAATCATGAATTCTGCTGTGTACCACACAGGGGTAGTCAAAGTTCTGATCCAAATTCTATTGGTATGCTGTAGCATGACTTTGCCCATGCACAAAAATGCTTCAATGTGGTTAAATTACAATTCTGCAAAGATAAGTGGGCAAAAATTCCTCTACGGCACTGGAAATGACTCATTGCAAGTTATCAAGAACAATGCAGATTTTACTGGTAAGGGTGCCCGAAATAGTTATTAGGTCAGGGAGCCATTTTCACACAGAGCCATGTAAGTTTGGATTTTTTCCTCCTCTAATAATAAAACACCTTTATTTAAAAACTGAACGTTGTGTTGACATGTGTTGTCTTTGACTACACATGTCAACATGTTAAACCAATTAAACAAATTTAATTGGTTTAAATTTAAATATTTAAACCAATATTTAAATTGGTTTTATGTTCTGAAATACTGAAGTGTGACAAACAAGCCAAAAAATAGGAAACCAAGAAGAGGAAAAACACTGATCATCCAACTTCTTCATGAGACCTGTAAACAAATAGCGTGGTGAAGCTTCTGTAGAATAAATTCAACAATTTTATTTTTAATAAATGTGGTAAATAAATCCTCACAGATACATTAAATAAAAAATTTACACCAATGGTGTTAGTAATTTCTTGATTTGTTTCAGAGTAAGTTATTGTACAAACTTTACACATAGTGAATGGTCCCACTATGTGTAAAGAGCAGTTTTGGTTAAACTGCTCTTTAAATAGTTCTACATAGTTAGGATTAAAAAAAAAAAGAAAATTATGCAATACATGTTACCGATGTTATTCTTAACATGGATGCTAGTTGACAATCCAAAACATTTACAGTAGCATTTGCTTCGTGAGAATTATGTGTCACTTGGGGCCATTTCTGGATTCCAATCCAA